CTGCTCCTGCTTAGTCGCTCTGTCGTGTTCTACTCTTTGCGACCCCATGGACGCGAGGAGCCCTCCAGGGCTGAATTCCTAGGGATTCTCCAGGCAAGAATACTGGAGTGGGTTGCCATGCCCTCCTCCAGGGCATCTTCCCAACCCAGGGATCGAACCCAGGTCTCCCGCATTGCAGACAGATTCTTCACCGTCTGAGCCACCAGGGAAGTCCAAGAATACTGGAGTGGGTAGGTTATTATTAGTACAAGATAATGAAGGTAGTTCCCTACACCGTTGGCTCTGTCTTTATGTCTCTCTGTCTCTTGACTCCCTGTGGGTTTCTGCAGTCCACCTCTTTAACACACGCCCGCAATCCGTGCAGACCAATCTGGTGACTCAAGGAGAAGCACCGCTCTCCCCACCCCGCAAGACAAACACGCGCAGTGACCGGAGGGTTTTCCTCGATTTGCCAGGGCCGCCCACCCGCCCCGCTCCCCGCCCCCCGCTCCCCGCTCCAGAGGCGTAGTCGTTCCGCCCCCTGCGGCCTGGCCCCGCCCCTGAGGAGCCGCATTGGCCGGCTCCCTGACCACAGCCCCGCCCCGCATCCTGACCCGCCCCCTCTGGCGCTGGCCCCGCCCCCCGAAGCTTCCAATTGGCCTGCGTGGGGCGGCCGGGTCAGTTGCTCGGCTCGCTGATCTTGCAATGGCAGAGCCGCGGATGTTCGCGGGGAGGCGAGAACGGGCGGCGAGTGCGGCGCGAGGTCATGCGCGGCCGCCTATGGCTGGGCCTGGCGTGGCTATTGCTGGCACGGGCGCCCGGCGCCGCGGGGACACCAAACACTCCGCGGAGACCGCGCAGCTACCCGCACCTGGAGGGCGACGTGCGTTGGCGGCGTCTCTTCTCTTCAACACACTTCTTCCTGCTCGTGGACTCCAGCGGCCGCGTGCAAGGCACCCGCTGGCGCGACAACCCTGACAGTGAGTAGCCGGGACCGCTGCCCGGGGGCGGGGGACAGGGCAGATAGGCGGACAAAGGCAATAGCAAAGGCAAGGCAGGGCAGCAGGGATGTGACACCAACTCAGTGAGGTTCTGTGCACTGTTCGTTCCTTCTCTCACTTGAGGGAGGTTCTGGAGGCTCCTCCGGCTGCGTGGTGGCGGCCAAGTCATTTCCCGTCTGGAGCCTCAGTTTCCTCAACTATAAAATAGGCCCAACACACTTGGAAGGAGGGTTGGACAGTTGAGGTCAAGTTCACACGGGAAGCTCCCACCTCCAGGCCTGGCTCAGCAGCAGAAGGGTCTCAGAGAGATACTTGAGGTTGGGACCACGGAGACTCCAGAGAGGAAAGGGAGGGGAAGCTGGGACTCCGGGAAGAGCCTCCATGGGCCTCGCACATAATGAGGTGAGGGCAGAGTTGAGTCTGAACTCTGAACTCCCCACCTTGTAAAACCAAACTCAGGGCCCATCTGGGTTGGGGTCCCCTCTATGTCTTCCTGGACACCCACTTGGCAGATGAGGAAACTAAGGCACAGAGAAGGCAAATGACCTACCTGGGGTGGGAGGTGGGGGCATAGAGCTGGGGCTCTACAGTGCCCAGAACCTCATTGAGTTGGTATCACATCCCTGCTTCCTTGACCAGGAAACAGTAGGCACTCAATAAGTGTTTGTGGAATGTATGAGGCAAGAGGAGATGAAGGGGCAAAGAAAGAGAAGGCGGAGATTGGCAATAAAAGGGAGGCTAGGGAGGTCAATGACCCCAGGCCTGTCTGAGTCTCCCTGCATCTCTGAGGCCGGGCAGAGTGGGAGTGGGGGAGCCGAGGCAGTGCTGGCCACTGCCTGAATCACCACCATTAGGGCAGATAATCACCTTGCCCTTCCCAGTTGCTTTCATCTGGGGCTCTCAAGGCCCTCATTAGTCTCACCAGACGAGGGCAAGGACAGGGGCACTGGCTAGGCCGGTCGCTCAGTGGTGGGCACGGCCAGGCAGTCTAGCTCTGCTGGATGGCTTGGGACAGGCACTGCTTCTCTCTGAGCCTTGGTTTCCCCACCTGGAACTGGGTGTCTCACCCAAGAAACAGCAGGTGCAAATGTCCTGTGGGACATGGGGTGAGCGCCCCATCACCAAAGGCATCCAAGTCCAGGCTGAACACCAGAAGGCAGGGTTTTGACTCCAGATTAGGCCCCCATGCCTGGGGCTCAGAGTGTGAGCTGGGGCTTGTCCCCCAACCCTGCTCCACTGGACAGGAAGCATCAGCTCAGATGGGGCAGGGCTGCCCTAGGGTCACCCATCCAGCAACAGGGCCTGAGAAACTGGCTCTGCCACTTCTCAGGCCTCAGTTTCCCCACGCAGAAAGTGGGCACAGTCAGCACCTCTCTCCTGGAGCTGCGTGTGGGCTTGGTGGGATACGATGCCTGGCATACAGTTGGCACTCAAGCAGTGTTAGCAGGTAGCGTTGATCTGAACACCTTGTGCCCCACCCCCAGGCCGTTGGCTGGGCGGTGTCTCCCCTGTAAAGACACGGCCCTGGCTAGCCGAGCTGTCAGCGTCAGATATGGTAACAGCAGTGTGGGGACTGTGGGCAAGGCCCGCGGGGCCTGTGCCCACTGCCAGGGGTCTATATCTGTCACAAAGGCACTCACCTCCTCTGACTTTGTTTTCTCACCCCTGACTGACCCCCTCCCGGCTACAGCAAAGCTTGGGGATGATCTCCACTGGCCTCCTGAGAAAGGTCTTACTTCTTCCCCACTGATTCCCACCCCTACCATCCCCCCCCCACCACGCCCCGTGCCCCGGCCTGGAGTACTCTTTGCCCCACCCATCAGTCCCACAGCTTCAGGGCAGGTGCTGATAGGACCTGCATGGGCCCTGGTGCGTCCCCACGCCCAGCACAGGGCCAGGCACACAGGAGGTACTTGGGAAATGTTTCCAATGGGGAATGTTTCCCGCGTGAATGAATGCATGAACAGAGAGAGCGGGGAGAGTAGGGGAGTGGGTAGTGGGCAGGCCCTTACAGAGCCCCTCCCTGCAGGCGTCCTGGAGATCCGATCCATCCGCGTGGGAGTCGTGGTGCTCAAGGCGGTGCACAGTGGCTTCTACGTGGCCATGAACCGCCTTGGCAGACTCTATGGGTCGGTGAGTGGAAGTGCAGAGGGCGGTAGGGGGTGCGAGTAGAGGTGTGTGGGGGCGTGTCCGGGGGGCTTGTCTGGGGCCACTCACCACCCACCCCGCAGCGGTTCTGCGCTGCACACTGCAGGTTCCAGGAGCGTATCGAGGAGAACGGCTACAACACCTATGCGTCAGTCCGCTGGCGCCACCAAGGCCGGCCCATGTTCCTGGCTCTGGACGGTCGGGGAGCCCCGAGGCTCGGGGGCCGCACACAGCGACACCACCCGTCCACGCTCTTCCTGCCCGTCTTGGTCTCCTGAGTCCCAGGGTCAGTGACGCCTGGTCTGAGATTCCAGGAGACACGTGAGGTTGGGGAAGGCGGGGTTTGGGGAGAGCCCGTGTCGTTACTCACTGGTTTCACCTGCATTGCGCACCTGCTCTGCTGGGCACTGGGGACACCACCAGACCCCACAGATGTGGCCCCGCGCTCAGAGACTGAGTTGGAGGGGAGGTGGACAGTGAGCTGAGCAGGGGTGGAAGGAATCCAGCCACAAGCTGGGGGGCCAGGGAGGCTTCAACAAAGGCACCGACCAGGCTGGAGATGGGGAGGCAAGTTTTCCGGGGTGGGAACCTACTGGGGTGTTTGAGGCAGCAAGGAGGTGGGGGGGGGCTGGGGTAAAATGATGCCACGGACTGGCAGGGCCTGGTCCCAGGGCTTATGGACATGTCACCTCATGGGGCACAGGGGACTTTGCAGGTGGAATTAAGGCCCCTGAGATGGGGACAACCCTGGATCCTTCGGGGGGCCCAGTGTCATCACGGGGTCCTTATAAGAGGGAGGTGGGAGGGTCAGAGGCAGAGAGACAGGAGATGCTGCACTGCTGGCTGTGAGGATGGAGGGAGGGGCTGTGAGCCAGGGATGTGGCACCTCTAGAAACTGGAAAAGTGGGAAGTTGGTACTCCCCTGGAGCCTCGGGAGGGACTAGCCCGGCCCACGCCTGGATTTAGCCTTCTAAGACGCAAGTTGTGACCCCAAGCCTGAAGTTGATAAACATGTTGTTTTAAGCCATCAAATTTGGTGATTTGTCACAGCCATCCTTGCAGACCCACACACACTGGCCTCAGAGCCCCTTATAAGGTGTGCAACCCCTCGGGGTGTGCAGGCTGAGGGGGTCCCAGGTCAGCTTTCTGGGGGCTGAGCTCCCCCAGCGGGGGAAGAGGTGGAGCTGGGAAGTGGGGGGAGGCTCCCACCCCTCCCAGTGGCCATTTCCGAAGACCGATTTGGGGGGCACTTCCAAGGGGCACAGACTGGACACTCACCCACAGAGGGAGCAGAGTGATCCTGCCGTGGACAGACTGGGCCCCAGGCTGCACCGACGCACACAAGGAATACGCCGACCACCGGCTTCTTTCTAAGTAGGTGTATTTTTAAATAGCTTTCAAGATACACATATTTTCTCCTTTAAAAAACGTCTGTCAGAGCAGTCTTGTCCTTGTTTCGCTGGTTATCCTGGTATCCCAGGCCCCAGTGCTCAGGGTGGGGAGCAGGGCCTGTCCACGCAGCCAGGACCCCAGCCAAGTGGCTCCACCCCGTCTCTCCACAGATCATGCAGGGCCGCGAGTGAGCTCAAACGTCCATTTATTTCAAAGCAGTAATAATTTAAAATTATAAAAACCTTTCCGCCGTTGAACATGTAGAGGGTGAGGTCAGAGACAAAGGGGGGGAAGGTGGGACACCCGGGCAGTGTATGCGGGCGCCCGGCCCAGCCGGGTTGTCCCTGGGGAGGCCGAGCTCCCTCCGCAGCCTGGAGGGGTGGGTCCTCCGAGCCTCCTCCGCGGCGGGCCCGGTGGCGCTGCAGTCCGTGGGCGCGTGGGGTGTCTGCTGTTGCCCTGGGGGCTGGCCGGCCGGTGTGCTCAGGAGCTGCTGGCCGGGTTCTCATTCCCGGGTGAGCTGGAGGAGGATGACGAGGAGGAGGAGAAGCTCACCCCAGCCAGGCCCGGGGGGTCGGTGGCCGTGTTCTGTCCTGTGAGGCTTTTTCGGCAGACAGGGCAGCTGTCGTGCTTTGCAGGACAGAGAGGAGAGGGAACAGTTCAGAGGCGGCGGGGGCAAGGGATTGAGGGCAGTGTCCCAGCTGGCCCACCACTCACCTGCTCCAGCCAGGGCACGATGCAGCCGTCATGGAAGAGGTGGTTGCAGGGCAGCTGCCGCACACGCTCACCCAGCCCATAGTCATCCTTGCACACGGGGCACTCCAGCCCCGAGCCTGCAGGGCAGGAGCACGTCTCTCAGGGCAGCTCCCCTGAAGCCCTGCCCAAGGTGTCCCAGGGAGGAGGAGTCACTGGCCCAAACCCACCCCCCCACTGGCCCCTGGGGCTCGTACCGACGTGCTCCTCGGTCACGGGCACAGTGGGAAGGGCCTGGATTTTCTCTTTGTCTGCGGGTGGGGGACCCGTGTTTTCAAACTGATTGAGGAGCTGAAAGACAAGAGGCCAGAGAGCAGGTGGGCTGGTAGGGTCCCTCGCCCCACAGGGCTATGAAATGCAAGGCGGGGTTACCTGCAAAAGCACCGAGGCCCTGTTTGTCCTGGCCTGACCCTGAGGGGTCAGAGGTCAGCTGCCCCAGGAGGCCCAGCCCTGGGCTTCTCCCCACTCTTCTGCTCATCACCACCTTGTAGCCAGGGCTGGTAGCCACCCCAGGGACACCGCGGCCCCTTCCTAGGGCCAGGATGGCTCCCAAGTCCTCACGTGGCTACAATCAGGGGGCAGGCACCGGTGACAAAATATGCAGCAGAAGGCCCCAAGGTGGTCACAGCCCCGCCTCATAAGTGCCACCCAGGACATAGACACGGAAGACACTCTGTCCTCCTGGGCCCAGCCTGTATGGTTGTGGTCCCCACACCAGCTAAGCAAGGCCCTTGTACCTGCGTGATGATGGCGTCCAGGCCGTTGGCCCCCCAGGCGTAGTCCATCGGGTTTGAATGCAGGACGCCCCTGGGCAGAGAAGGCTGGGGTTCAAGTGGCAGAGGGGTGGGCCGGGCGCAGGGGGCCCCTCCCCTACTCACCAGGGGCCCAGGCCCAGGTTGGGGATGGTGGCCGGGGTGATGATGCCGTTGACCAGCTGCTGGATGATCCTGGAACAGAGTGGCCAGGCCCGTGGTTAGCGCCCTTATGAGGAGGGGCCAGTGTAGGGGGGCTGGACTCTCAACTGGTGAGAAAAAGCCCAGACACAAGGGTGCTGGGGTAGAGGTCTCCTTGAGGCCTGGACAGTGCCGGTTGACACACAGTTGCGTCCCCCCCCATTTTGCAACACAGAGGGAGTGCTGTGGGGGGGCCCCAGGAGCCCTGTCAGCCCTGTTCTTCACAGTGACCCTAAAACATGCCAGCCGAAGTCACAGTGAGCCAGGCCATGTCCTGAGCTGGACCAGCCTTGGCTTGCCTGCAATCAAGCTCCATCTACAAACACCCACAGGATGCTCAGCCCCGTGTCCCGTGGGGCTGAGACGGGCCTTCTAGGTCCTCCCCTCCTGTCCTCAGGACCCTGCACACAGGAGGGGCGAGGACACCGGATACTGCCGTTCGCCTGTGCCCCGGGGCAGAGGCCTCTCTCTGAAGGATGCTGAGGGGCACACAGTGGGCACACGGCCCCTCAGCCAACCTGGACCCACAGGGGACCTGCCCTGCCTGGAGGACGGCCCCTGAGCCAGCACCCATGCCTTGTGCCCACAGCACCTCCTGAGAGGACAGCTGGTTGCTCTGCCCGAGCGGGTGGGGTGGGCTGGACGCCCCCAGCCCCCCACCCGCAGCCGCCCCCGGGCCCCCTCACCCTTCCAGCGTGGGGACGCCTTCGTGCCGGCCGGTGGCCCGCCGCGCGGTGAGGCGGGCGCGGGGCTGCCGGGCGCCGTACCGGTGCCGGGAGTGCTGCTCTCGCTCCCGCCGGCTCTCGGGATCCCTGCTGTCATCAGCCTGCGCCCCAGGGGGGAACGTGGGGATCTCGAAGCTGTCGTCAAAGATGCCGAAAGCAAAGTGCCCGTAGCCCTGCGGCAGCGTGAACAGGGGCTGGTCCACATTCTGCAGAGAGGAGGGCCAACATCATGGGAGAGGGGCCAGGGCTGGGCAGGAGGTGGGCAGCCCTCACGGGGAACAGGGAGGCTGCCTCTCACCTCGAACGGTTGCTGCCGGCTCTGGTCCGCGGAGGCTGTGGAGGGGGCTGAGCCGTTCTCTGCACTCCTAAGAGGACAGGCACCATTAGCAGCAGGAGCACCCCACCCCAGACAGATGGCCAGAGGGTCAGACGAAGGCAGACCCCCTCTACACCTGACCCAGGTCCAGCCAGTGCACCCTTGGGCTGAGGGTCCATGGGGGGGGCAGCCTTACCTGGTCTCTTCTGGAAGCTCCTCGATAAACCCAGACTCGCATCTTGGGCAGATGTAATCCTGGGGAGGAGAGGGCAGGCAAGGGTCATCTCAGGGCAAGGCGGGGTCGGGGTGTGTGTGTGTGCGGGGGGCTCATCTCAAGGGCCCAGGTGGCAACCTGCAGCTCCAGCCATGTGGTTCTGGGCAGGGCTGGTGCACTGACTTCCTTGTGCACATGGTGGGCTGCGACCTCAGCAGTTACATCCCCAACCTCCCATGTCCCTGAGTCCATCAGCTTGTGCTCCCCACAGTGACAGAAGTCACAGTTTTGGGGCCTCCACTCAGCCACATGGCCTGATGAAGGCTTTGACAAAGCGTGTAGCAAAGGGCCAGCTGACGCGGGTCCAGGGAAGTTTCCCAACTTGGGGGACCTGAGAATGTTCCCTAACACCCCCACACCCACACAAATAGAAAGGAAGGCTGGGAGAGTGACTAGTGGGGCTCCAGGACCACCTGGGCCTCAGAGATCAACTCCCAGGAAGGCGGCCATCGAGGGTGGGAGGCACACCCAGGCAGAGGAACCGGCCTGCAGAACATTCTGGACTGCCCGAGGTGTGGCCTGTGACCCCAGGCTGGACAGCCAGCGGGCAGAGACTGTGATGTCTCCAGTCAGCAGAGAGGTGGCCCTGCCCCTCAGGGACAGGGAGCCTGAGGACCAAATCCACTAGTCGGGCCTGGAACTGGCTTAGGTCCACATGTGTTCTAAAGCTGCAAGCGTGAGGTGCATCCACTGAGGCCGCCCATGGTCCCAGTCCCCAGAAGCCTGGGGCACCGATGGCTGGGCCACCCTCTGTAGGGAACAATGTGGAGGTGTGGGGCGTGTGGCCTGCCCTGCAGATGCTGGGGGCCAGGCACCTGTCAGGAAGGCGGGACCCCCACCTGCTCCACTGCAGAGAGCAAAGGGGCCAGGGAATGAAAGGACGCCACCTGAGCTGGGCCAGAGGGTAGGCCAGAGCTGCACATGTCCCGGGGACCTGTGTCCAAATGTGTAATGAACTCTTACGATTCAACAACAAAAGACAAACGCCCCAGTTAGAAAACGACCAGAGGATCAGAACAGCATTTCTCCACAGACAGACAGGTGGCAACGAGCCAAGAAGGGATGCACACATAGTCTGCCAACAGGGAAACGCAAACCAAAACCAGCGGGACACACTCCACATCTACCCAGATGGCTGGACCCATGGAGCTGACAGGGACCACTGTGGGAGGTGGCAGAGAAACTGGAACCCCCACATGGCAGATGGGCTGTGAATTGGGGCAGTGTCCTCAGAAAACAGTCATGGTCACCCCATGACCCTGCAATTGCCCCACCAGGCACCCACCAGGGGTGACGGAGACATAGGTCCACACAGAAACCCACACACGCACAGCAGTCAAACACAACCACTTGTCCCTCCACCCCTGGGAGCATCACTCAGACATGCAAAGAGGAAGCCCTGACACTTGCCACCATGTGGATCGACCCTGAGAACATGATGCTCAGTGAGAAGCAGACATAGAATACACAGATTGTGATTCCACTGATGGGAAACATCCAGAACAGGCAGATCTGCAGACACAGAGTGGGATCCTGGTTGTCAGGGACCAAGAAGGTGACTGCTGATGGGGACGGGGCTCCTTTTTGAGTGACCAAATGTTCTGGACAAGGACACTGGTGATGGCCGGCTGCAAGACCTGAGCTTTAAGTGGGTGGGACATGTGGCACTGAAACTGTGAACCAGGAACAGCAGCCCTCTGCCCTCCTGAGCAGGGGCGTGGGGCCCAGGGGAGGCTCCCCCAGGAAGGGTCCACCATAGCTGTTACTGGCATGGGTTTCCAGGGCTGTCACTCAGCCTGTCGTTTACTTCAACGTTTCACAGGCCAAGAAATGCAGTCACTGGAGGCTTTGTGCTTGGTAGCCAAGGTTCTTGCCCCCTCCAGGAGCCCCAGTGGGAGGGCGATGGACAGGGGCAAACGTGGCTGCAGTTGAGTCTGAGCTGACTGAGGTTAGGAATCTGGGAACCTTCTGGCCTGGGCCAACAGGCAGGCCCAGAACCTCCCCTGTGAGAAAACTCTCTCTCCCAGGCACCCTGCCCCAGGCAAGCCTGGGAGAGCCAGGGCAGGGTGAGCAACACGCCCACTGGAGATAGGGTGTCTGTCCTCCACCCCTGGGGCTCACTGCTGCTCCTGGTGCCTGAGAGCCGATCACCATGCCATCCTCAGGGGTCCCTGTGTTTCCCGAGCCCCAGCACAACCCAGACTGGCCATCTCAGGCCTGGGCCTTTCCTTGTCCTGGATCCCCACAGCCCGAGTTGATATCTACCTGGCTTGCCCCCTCTCGGAAGCTGGGTCCCAGCTGTAAGCCTCCATCTCCCCACCTGCAAATGGAGGGTGGCCTCAACCCCAGGCTCTGGACTTGGCCCCTGAGCCACAGTGACCTGGTTTCAGGGAGGCCCCAGACTCTGCTGCACTTGCAGAAGGTCCAGACCTGGGTCTTCAATGCTCCCTCCTTCAGAGGCCGCATGTCCCAGAGATTTAATTACCTCACCGTGACAGAAATGGGGGACACCCTGGGATGGAACAATCACCCCCACAGGGCAGAGTCTATATACCTTGGCAAGGCCCTAGCTCGTGAGCACCTAGCCCCAGCTGACAGCTTCTCTCTTGAGGAGACCAGGGTGATCACGCCATCATTATTACCGTGACAACAGCGGCCCACAGGACAGACCATGCACTCCACTCACTCAGCACTTGCTCCCTGCAGTAGGCCCTTGGAGATAGGCCTCACCCTCCATGCCACATGCAGACCCCAGGTTCCCGGCCAGGTGAGTGTGGGGGAACAGGGGACATTGAGGTGGGAACTGGAGAGATGCTGGCCTTAACGCCGAGCAGGCAGGGGGATCAGTCTGCACCCCAGGGGCTCTGTGCAGAGGACGGACTTTCTCTCTTCACCCCGACGGCTCTCCGAGGTGGCCTGTTCGACATAACAGAGCTTGTTCCCGTCCCCCCGACCCTGCTCAGGGACACTTCTGAGAGGAATCAGGGGTGTCCACAGGACAGGAGACAGAATCATGACTGCCACCGGTCAGGCCACTAGGAGCCTGGCCCATGCATGGCCCAGATCCACCTCATCCCTGGCGCTCCCGTTTCCTGGGGGATCGAGTCTGGGCCTGTGCGCCCGAGCAGAGGCCTCTGAGCTAGCCGGCCTGCCCGGTTCCTGCTCCCACACGCCCATTCCAGGCAGGCACCCGCCCTTCCGGGGCATCCTGGCCCCCCTGCACCGGCACTCTCGAGCACAGGGGTGCCCTCACCAACCCATCTGATGGGCGAGGAGAATGAGGCAGAGTCTCATGGCTGCAGGGAGAAACCCTGGGAACAGAGGGCCTGCAGCCACCTGAGTCTCACCACCCCACTGGGGCAGGGGGAGGTGGGAGGGGTGCTGCTGGCGGAAGCCTCCCACTGTCACCAGGTTAAGAGCCCACCTCCCTACTCTCATGAACACCAAGTGCACCCCTACTCATAAACAGACACCTGTCTACAGGACCCCGTCAACCCCTTCCCAAACCCACAAATCAGTCCCCTTGCCTCCAATATTTGCTCCTAACAGAATTTACCAACATTCCAACAAATCAAATATTTGCCAATCACTTGCTCAGCATTGGCTCCCTGTAAACTCTGAGAGCAAAGGTCATGGCTACCTTGTCACCACTGGATCCTGTGACTAGAAAGGCCCTCGCCAGCTCAGTGTCCACAGACTGTCCACAGAGATCAGGATCCTTCTGGTCCGAGACTACATGGCCAGGATCCGGCCGCGTGCTGGCCCTGGGAAGGGAGGCCAGAACAGCTAACTACACAGCCCCGGGCTGCCGATAGCTCTGGACAGGTCACTCTGGGGTAAGCCCAAAGCCCAGGGCCTGTCCGGGGCTCACACCCGCTGCAAGAGGCTCCCTGCAGCTCACCTAGGCTAGAGGACTGTCCCGCCGACCCGACTGTTCCTCCCAGTGGAGGAAACCAGACCCAGAGCTGGGGCGCACAGGAAGCCGGAAGAGGCAGAAGCAGTACGTCTTCCGGGAGGCTGGAGTGGGGGAGTCGGGCAAGTCTCGGCCCCCCCAAGTCTGCTCGCGCACCGAGGTTTCCATTTATCTGCCGGCCCCCATCCCCTTGCCTCTGGAAGCCACACCACCCTTGCCTTATCTTACACTCTCCTGGGTTCAGGCACCGTTTCCATTCCAAACCCTGACTCTAGCTCACTTCTGTGGCTGGAATAATGCCCACGACTCCTGCTGGATCCCATAGTGAAGTCCACAGCAAGAAAGGAAGGGATGGGAATCTGGTTCTTAAATCAGCCAGATGACCAAGGAGAGCTGGTGCTCAATCAGTCGTCGCCACCCACAGCCCCTTTCCCTGGCCCCCCACATCGCCCTCTTCCTGCTCCTCTTGAGCTGGCCGAGCGGCAAATGCCAGGAGCGGGGCCGGCCAGGGGCGCCTTGCCTTCTAACCTTCCTCCCATTCAGCGGGGGAGGGTCGGTCAGGCGCGGGGCACCGACCCCATCCCGGACCTACCCACTCGGAACTTCCGGGCTGAGGGGCCTGGAAACCGAGCCTTTCACGATCAGCTGTCCCGCGGCCTCCACCCGGACGAGGGCACAGGGCCCACCTGGGTCCAGACCCCGGGCCCCGGAAGGCGCAAGAACGCCGGCTCGGGCCGCCGTCGGGCCCGGAAGAGCGACGGCTCTCTCCCACGAGGCGCTCGCAGCGCTGATCGCGCTCGGGGCCGACTCCGCTCCCTCCCGGTCACCGGCCTCGCTGCGCCACCAGGGCCGCCACTTCCGGGCCCTCCGCGGGGACCTCAGTTTCCCCGTCCGTGCCAACTCGCCTCGGGCCAAGGCAGTGGCCCCCTCCCGCCCGGCCTGGGCCTCACCGGCAGGCGCGGCACGATCTCGACTGAGCAGCAGTGGCAGAAGTACCGTCCGGGCTGCGGCGACGCCTCGGCCATGGCCACTGCCGCCTCCTCCACGCCGCCCGCCCCCCGCGCGGCGCCCGCCGCCGGCCGTTTGCTGCTCCCTCGCCGGCCGACGAGCCCGCGCACGCTCACGCACGGCACGCACGGCACGCACGGCGTGAGGCGGGGAAGGGCAGCGGAAACGGGACAGGCAGCGCGCGAGGCGGGCGGTGGCTCGGGTGACGGTGGCCGCCGAGGAGCAAATTAGGAGCGGAGCTGGGCGGGGGCGGGGCCATGGGCGGGGCCTTGGTGGGCGGTTGCCTGCCTGGGCAACCTGGATCTGGGCCTGAGGTGGGTTTGGAGGCGGGCCCGGCTCGAAGGCTAAGGGGAAGGCCGAGGGGGGGCTGGGGCGGGGCGGGGCCAAGCCCCTCCTCTTCTACAAATCTGCTACCAGTTCCCGCACCGACCCCCCCCTAGTTCCCTCATTTCTCTTATTGCCAAGACCCACCTGTTTGGAAATCAGTCCTGAATATTCATTGGAAGGACTGATGCTGAAGCTGAAACTCTAATACTTTGGCCACCTGGTGCGAAGAACCGACTCATTGGAAAAGACCCTGATACTGGGAAAGATTGAAGGCGGGAGAAGGGGATAAAAGAGGATGAGATGGTTGGATGGCATCAACGACGCAATGGACATGAGTTTGAGCAGGCTTCGGAAGTTGGTGATGGACAGGGAAGCCTGGTGTGCTGCAGTCCATGGGGTCGCAAAGAGTCGGACTCGACTGAGCGACTGAACCGAGTGACTAACTTACCTGGTTTTCACTTCTCTGTCCTCACTGCTCCTGGGATGCTCTGGCGCGCTTTTACCTCCAGACCTTTGCACGGGCTGTAACCTTGCCCTGGTGCACCGTTGCCTAGACACCCGCATGGCTTTCTTCCCCCACACCTTTTAAGTCTGCTCAAATGTCCACCTATTGAGGCATGTTCTGCAACAGCGCTTGGGTCCATATTATAAACTGTCAGTTCCACAACAAAAGGGATTTTTGTATCTTGTTCCCAGCTGGACTCAGAACAGGGCCTGGCACACAGGCTTTACATAAACATTCTTCGAATGCATGCAGACCGGAGACCCATTCCTGGATGAAGGAGGCCTGCTCTCCCATGCCTCGGTGTGGCATAAGAGACTCTGAGCGAGGTGTGGCCTTGTTTCCATGATGCCTCAGGGTGAGGAGAGGGCAAAAAACCTACCCCTCCCCTCAAAATGAATCAGGCCAGGATCATTTCTGAATTTAGTTCCAGGACAATTATGTACTTATTTCCTTACCCACTAGACAAACATTCATGAAGCTCCTGTTGCATGCCAGACTCTGCTGGGGTGCAAGGACACAGCAGAGGAAACCACAGACAGGAAATGAAAGTGGTTCTCTGAAATACTCCATAACTGGAGGACACAGAGCAGGCTACAGACGCCCCCAGCCTCACGAGACTGAGCCAGGGGATGAGCCCCTAGGGTACCCTTGGCTCTGCCTGGAGAGACAGACAGACTTCCCAAGGGAGAGGACTTTAGAGCCAGGACTTTGAGTAATGAATAGGAGTTGGATGGAGGTGAGATTCCTGCTGAGAGTTGGGAGTATTGGAGCCAGAGTGTCAAAGAATTACAAATTGGAGGCTGTGCATAAAGGATCTTGAATGTCAAGTGGTAAGGAATAGGGACTTGTCTTCCAGCCACCATCTTGCACCCCTCAAAGCTCAGAGGCGATTCCAAGGCATTCCTGCTCTGACCACCAGAGAGCGCCCCAGCCCTGTTGCTGGGAAACAAGCCCTGTTGCTGAAGCAAAAGACACCACCACCCCCATCTGCCTCCACCCCTCCCTCCCCTGAGGGGTACAGGGAGGGGCCCTTTGCCTCAGACCTTTAATGCCTAGCTCCTGACTTGTCTCACACCAGACATACATTCATTGATTCATTCATCTTGGAGAAGTTTCATTTTGTTTTTTCATTTGGTTTGTTTTTTTCTTTTCCTTTTGACTTATGGGATCTTAGTTCCCCAACCAGGGATTGAACCTGGGCCCAGAGCAGTGAGACCACCTAGTCCTAACTACTGAACTGCCAGGGAATTCCCCATCCTGCAAAAGTTTATGAGGTACCACCCAAGAGGCCTTGGAGTCAGTGGGCTCACAGCATTCAAATCCCACCAAGTCACACTGGCTATATGACCCTGGGCAACTCACTTAACCTCTCTGGGCAGATGGCAGAAACTTCCTCTTGGGGGTTTGAGATTGGATTATGCTTGAGGTGCCTGTGGGCCATGCGGCCTCCCTGAGTTCATCTACCCTTCTGGCACCCATCCCCAGCCCAGCGCAGTCTCATTGGCCCCCGCGGGGGGGTTGGACTGCATCCCCCCTCAGGGCCTTTGCCTGGTCACACCTTCTGCTGGGAGTGCCATTCCCACCATCCTTTCTCTTTTGCTGTTTCTCAGAAGGCTGCTCTGATCCTGTCCTGGGGAATCCCAGTGCCCTCTTCCCTCTTTCCCCAACTCAGCCACCCCCAGATCCAGGAGTTATCAGTGGTATCTCCCAATATGTGAAGCCAATACCCAGAATATAGTAGGTGCTCAATAGATTCTTGAATAAAAAAATAATTAGTGAGTGCCTGCTGTGTACCAGGCCCAAGTAGGGTGCTGGGAATGCAATGGGAACAAGAATATGAAGTTTTGTATCATAAAACTAAGTGCTTAAGATGTGCCAGCCAGATGTTTAATCCTCACACAAGCACCAGGATGTGGGAGCAATGAAGACTCCTGTTTTACAGATGAGAAGGTGAAAGTGAAAGTCACTCACTCCTGTTTGACTTTTGGCAAGCCCATGGACTATAGGGTCCATGGAATTCTCCAGGCCAGAATACTGAAATGGTTAGCCTTTCCCTTCTCCAGGGGATCTTCCCAACCCAGGATAGAACCCAGGTCTCCTGCGTTGCAGGAGACTGAGGCTCAAACATGGTCACACAGCAGACACAATCATTGGACCTCTGGGTCTCGGCTCCTTACCCCGCTGGATGCCCCGGGACTGGGATATCCAAATTCAAGTAATCAGGCCAGTATCTGCATGTGATCCAGAGGTCCTGAGGTTCTGGGGCCTCAGGCATCCATTTATGACCAGTGGCCATCTTGCTGCTGCCACTGATGGGACAGATGTGTGACGGGAGACCTGGCCAGCCCAGGGCTCTCTGATTGTGGGGTGCCTCCTGATGGGTTCTCAGCATTTTCTTGAATAGTCTTTGAAAGTGGATTAGGAGGTAACCTCTCCGGACAGGACCATTTCACCCCCTAGTTACTGACTTGGGTTCAAATCCAGCCTCTGGGAGGGAGCTTTGGGAACTCTAGAGCTGGAGAAAGCAGTTCTGTCACCCACTTCTAGGGAGGCCACTGCCCCACTGGGCATTATTTCAACAGGCATGAATACACTGCTATCTGCTTAAGCATTTTTTTTTTTTTGCTTGCTTTTCAACCTTTTATTTACATATTTTGATTTATGTCCTTTGTATTATTTGTATTTGTTGGTTTGTGTTTTGTATTTTTTATTTTAGACCCCTGAGTCACCCATACCCAGGACCTGGCAGCCCCAGAACCTCAGATGTCCTTCAATCTATTCTCCTGGGGTCAAGTCACCATCCTCTTAGGTCAAACTTCCTTCATTTCCACCGGCTCAAGGAATCTTTCAGGACTAAGTCGTCAGGACCAGGACCTGTGAAGCCAGTGGGGGGGATGGATGCCTCCATCCTCTCTCTTGAGCAACCTCTCTTGAATGCTGCTCAAAAGTTGTTATTTTAAATAATTTCTAACTTCCAGAAGTGTTTCAAGAATAGTACAAAGGTTCCCACGCGTCCTTGACTTGGGCACGCCAGTGGCAAACTTTTTTTGCTCTCTCTGTGTGTCTGTGTGGAATTTTGGGCAAACTTGCTGCCCCCAGCCCCTTTATCCCAAGCACGACTAGGTGTACTTCTAAAGTTAGGCCACTCTCTTATCTGAAGCAGCAACACGTTTACCAAATTGGGTAATTAAGCTTTCATAGCTTTATCAAGCTCTGCCTCCCTCAAAGGAGGTGGGGTCGCACCACCTTTCAGCCTGGCAGGGATCGAGATCACCACGCAATCCCTCAATCACAGATGCTGGTATCGACCGTGTGCCAGGCGCAAGAACACATCTGGGATACGGCAACAAATGTCGGCAAAGTCAGACACTCAACAATATTAAGCACTGTGATGTGCAGAATAAAGGCCCCCATATACGTTTGATATTTTAGCTCAGTAAGACACCTGTCAGACTGCTGATTTCCAGAACAGTAAATAATAAGTCTGTGCTATTTTAAGCAGCTAAATTTACAACACTTTGTTAAAGCAGCAAACAGGAAACTCATACGTCAAGCTATTACACGGTCACCTCCAAACACAGGACTGCTGAGCATTCCCGTGTTTCCCTGAAGCCTCGCCCCAGTAGGCTGTCCCTCCTACCATTGGCCAGAGCTGGATCACATGGTTGTGCCTGACATCACTTCAACCCTGTTCACCCAATCAGGATTCGCCTCTAAGCTGAGGGCAGGTCCGGCCTTCTGCGTCAAACGTGGCCGGCAGATTCCTGCGAAAAATCCTATTGTTCTTTCATAGGAAAGAGGATGGCATGGGGACATTTGGGGGCAACGTGGGAAAGTAGCTAAGGGAAGGGGCAAGAATTGAGTAGTCTCTGAAGGAAGGGCTTCAAACCTAGGCCGGCAAGCTTGGACTCCATCCAGAGGCTATGGGGAGCCCTGGGTGGCATTTAGAGCAGGGACCATACGCACGTTTTGGACGTTACAATACCCAGCTCTATTCAGAGTTCTCCCATGCTATCTGCCATGGCCGAGTCTTCAGTGTTGTCTTGTGTGAAGTATTAGTCGCTCAGTTGTGTCCAACTCTTTGTGACCCTATGGACTATAACCCTCCAGGCTCCTCTGTCCATGGGGTTCTCCAGGCAAGAATACTGGAGTAGGTTGCCATTTCCTTCTTCAGGGAATCTTTCCTACCTAGGGATCAAAGCCAGGGCTCCTGTATTGCAGGCAGATTCTTTACTGTCTGAGTCACCAGGAAAGCCCTTGGTTGTCATCATATGTCCCACTAAGGAACCAGCAAGACCTTGCTTCCCACAGACTGTGGAGTTTCAGGTCTAGTCCAAGGGTTGCACAGGCTAAGTTGATGTGGGGTCTATCACAAGCATTCTTCTGGCTTGAGTAATGTGGGATCCAGTGACCGAGTGTTCTTTACCAGGCCATCCTGGAGGCAGTGGTTGGTACAGCAGCGTGGTGTGATTCCCACAGCCCCTACAGAACCTGCTGCTCTGGGTTCTAAAGCCCTTGCTTGAATAAAATATAAGCAGGATTATTGTAAGCTGGTTTTGTTCCCTGGGAGTGACAGAAATGCTGCTTAGATCAGCTTTATTTTATGGGGAAGAGGAGTTCAGGCACAGCTGGATCAAGGACCTCCAATAAGACCACAGGGCATTACTGCTGCCTCTCTTGGTTCAGTGTCCCACTGAGCTGGCCTCTCCCTGGACATTGGCAGAAGCCATCTGCAGCGCCAGGCTCACACCCCTCCAGCTCAGGCAAGAAGTGGGTGGTCCTTTTCAAGCTAATGTCTCAGAGCTGACTCTTCCTGTTGCTAAATGTCAGATGACTCTTAAGTGGTCAGGCCTGGGTTGGGGCCACTCTTTGGGGCTTTAGAGTTGGGAGTACAGGAGGTGATTCCCCAAAGGAAAACCTGGCTCTGGGACCTGAGGAGTCCCACAATCTGGGGATGCACCCTGATTGCTCGGGTCCTGGAATCTTGTTTGCCTGGTACTGACTCCATTCCTGACCCTGTGGGGCTTTGAGACCCCCAGAAATTCACTTTCCTTTCTCCGACTTCAGTTGACCCCTCTGTAAAGTGTATGCCTGCCTTGTGATGAATGGTAAAATACTTGCCTATTCCTTAAGTAATAAGAATCTCTGCACCCATGTCACGCCCCTCCCGTGCACCAAGCACTGTGCCTGGCATCCTGACTGGAATCTGCAGTACTGGGATCTGTGCCCATTTTACAGTTGAGAGCATAGAGGCACAGAGTGGTCACATGCGGCCTGGTCAGGGTGGCACAGACTGGACTGCACTTCCACATGACGCCTCCTCCTCCCTCCAGGCCTTAGAGTCAACTCCTCGGAGATTCCACAACCTCCCTGCTCCCAGGGTCTCTGTCCTCCAGTCTTCACACATGTGTGTTCACCCCCTTGTTTTTCTCCAGTCAGGTAGGGACCGTATCATTGCGACACTGAACCCCTTTGTGTTAGCAGCTGTCACAAATCGATGCAAACTTGGTGGCTTAAAACAACACATATTTTTTTCTCTTCCAGTTCCGGAGGTCAGAAGTCCAACACAGGTCTCTCTGAGCTTAAATCAAGGTATTGGCAGAGCGTGTTCTTCTCCAGAGGGTCCAAGGGAGAATCTGTTCCTTGCCCTTTCCAGCTTCTGGAGGCTGCCCACATTCCTTGGCTGGAGGACACTTCCTCCATCTTCAAAGCCGAAAACGGCAGGTCCAGTCCTCCTAATGTTGCATCTCCCCGACCACAGTGGGGAAGGTCTCCACTTTAAAGGATGCTGTCATTACACTGGGCCCACTTGGTTAACCCAGGATCATCTCCCATCTGAAGGGCCTCAACTTACTCCTATGTGCAAAGTCCTTTTGCCATGGAAGGTGACATAGTCACAGGGTCTGCGAACCCACTTGTCTCAGAGGGCTGTATTCAGGCTTTCTCTTACTTGTAGCACAAACATCCCATGACTTCAGTTTCCATCCCCCCTTCCCTCATACCGTTCAATCTAACTCAACATTAAACATTCTCTCCTTCTGAGAAGTCTGCCCTGTCTCCCTGGGCTGGGTCAGGTTGGCATCTTCCATCACAGATCTGATTAGCAGATTGTCTCTGTAAGTTTCCCTGGGGGTGGTAAGTTGGGACCATGGGGAGTTAGGATGGGTGTGGGCCAGAAAACCTTAGGGCAGGCGGCTAGGGTAGGAAGCTGCTGCAGGCTGGGACAGGGTAGAGAAGAGGGCACAACGGGAGATACTGGAAAGAGGGGCTCCGCAAAGAGGGCCATGACCTCCTTAAGGTCATGCAGTACAGAGCTTCTGGGTTGGGGAGACACGCCTGCCTGGGAAGCAGAAGGCCACGGGCTGCTGGCCTCGGTTTCGAACCCACGCCAGGCCAACAATGGCCCTTTTATTTGCACAGCTCAGGACTGGGTGGCTGAGCCATGGAAGGGTCAGGTCTCGGCCAAGGTCACCCTGTGCAGCCCCCACACACCCTTGGTGAGAACACGGGGTCTCATTCCTGCCCCATTTCCCAACGAGGAGAGAACCCCCTTGGACGGTCAGAGGCCAAGGCCAGGTCAAGACGGCTGGTGGCCTCCCTCAGTGCTGCTCTGGAGTAATGTGTCCCCTGGCATTGGCTGGGAGACATGGGTCAGGCCGGGCAGCTAAGGTGGAGGACAGGGTCTGGGCATGGTGTTGGCCCACAGAAGATCTCGTGCATGCAGAAGAGGGGTTTGGCTTTAGGGGTCCTGCTTCTACACCTGGGGAGGGGGTAGATTTAGGAATGGGGGGCGATGAAGCATAGGAGGCCCTGGGAGAGAACCAACAGCTCTCAATTGTTTGTTTTTCTTAAAAGCATTTTCCACTTCTTAAAGTTACACGTTAGTTTGTCTGTCTATGTGTTTTGTTGTCTATGACTTGGGCAGATCAGACGGGCTCACTGCAGACAGGAGTAGGTCTGCCTTAGTCAACCTGTTGCCCCAGCACCCCCAAAGGTCCTTGCCTCCAGGATACTGTCACTAATTATTCCCCAGAAACACAAACTGTGTAGAGGGGCTGCACAGGGTCCATGAGATGTGGAGGTGCCCTGACAATTTTCTGGGGCCCCGAAGACTGAAGGGATCTGCCCAGAGTAGGAAAAGCATCCTGCTGCACTGAGGCCCCAGGAGTCTGTGTGCTTCCCAGCCCATTGCACATTTTGGGAAACCAGGATTCCAGGTGGCAAAGGACAGAGAGCACTGACCCTTGGAGGAGAGGAGCAGGCAGGCTGTTCAGGCCACCTGAGGGGTTGTTGCAGGCTCAGGGTAGGAGGGGGGCAAAGGCCAGGCACACAGTAGGCACTCTGGAAGATTTGCGGTATGATTATTGCTGTTGGCATGTTGTTGGGACCAAGGGTGTGTCTGCATCTGTCTGTCTCCTCTCCACAGCCCCTCCCCCCCACGTGCTCACACCCAGCTGTGCCCACCGGCTCCAGGGGCCAGGTGGCCAGGCGGGTGGCCTGGAGGGTTGGATTAGGGAGTGGCTGGGGCTGAGGTCCCCAGGTGTCTGGGAGGGGACGGGGAGGTCAGGGTAGGAGCCCAGAGCACACTGGGGCCGCGCCAGCCATCACATGCAGACCACGATGCGCAAGGCTCCTTAGATGCACTCTTCGTGGCTCACTGGCCAACCCCCTCCACCCCCCAAACGCACAGCGACACCTTAAACTCGAAGCCACGGGCCGGGCTCCCGGGTGGGGCCCCCCGCCCCCCACCAGCTGCCGCCCACATCGCGCGCGACACTGCCCCGAGCCCCGCCGTCCCCGCGCCCCGCCCCGGCCGGCCCGCCCCGCCCCGCCCGCAGCCCGCGGGACCTTTATAGGGCGCGCCGGCCGCGCGCTGGAAGTGGTGCCGCCGCCGCCCTCCCTGCCGCCCGCCCGCCAGCCGCCCGCGCGTCCGACGCGGGGGTCGCCGCCGTGTCTGCATTCGCCATGCGTCCCCGGGCGCCAGGGCCACTGTGGCCGCTGCCCTGGGGGGCCCTGGCGTGGGCCGTGGGCTTCGTGGGCTCCGTGGGTTCGGGGGACCCCGTGCCCGGTGAGTGGGGCGGCCGGAAGGGACGGGCGGGGCGGGCCACCCACGTGGGCCCGCCGGGAATGCGGGCCGGGGGACAGTTAGGGGGGCGCAGCGGCAGTGGCAGCTGGGGGCAGAGAGCAGTGACCCGTGGTGACCCGTGGTCGCTGCAGGTTGAATGCGGGAATGCTTGGGGCTCCCCTCCCCCAGCCCTAAAAGACCTAAAGGAGGGTCACCAGGAGGTCAGGCGAGCAGATGTGACTCCTCACAATTTATTATCAAGAACTAGTCCCCAGGGTTGCTGACAGTTACTGAGTGCTCAGGGTCTGCCGCCTCCCTCCTGGAATCCACGCAGCAGCCCTACAGTGTGAGCACTCTTATGCCCGGTTTCTAGATGGGGAAACTGAGGCACAGGGTCAGACAGCTTGTACGGGGCAAAGCAGATATGAACCTGGACTTTCCGGGTCCCAGTGTCCCAGAGAGGCAGGGCTGGGTGGTTGGACTCAGGATCCGCACCCGGGATCTCAGATCTTCCCTGGGTCTGGCACAGGCAGACTTGTTAGAATCTCATACCTGCCAGTTGTGGAGACACCAGGGAAGTCACACCCCCACTCTGGGCCTCAGTTTCCCCTTTTATAAGGGGAGCAAAGATGCCGAGCTCCCCGAACTGAGCTGGTCCCGCGGAGCTCAGCACAGTGCCTGGGAGCTCCCTGGGATGGGGGCCCTGGCCACCCCTGCCCCCACTTAACGGTGCAGAAACTGAGGGCCATCTGCCCCCCCCCAACCCCACCCTGCAGCTCCACCCTAACCCTGCACTGAGGGGAGAGCCAAGCCCCCTCCCCGAAGGCCGCGTCCCCGGGGAGACAGTGAGCTCATGCAAGGGGAATGTTCCCAAGTTGGAGTGAGTAAGAGGCGGGCCAGGCGAGGGGGGGCTGCCGGGCGAGGGGGCTCCGCGTGCCCTCGGGCGCTGTCTAGACAGAGGGCAGAGGCGGGAGAGGCGGCTCTAGGGCCCACTGACCCTGACACGTCCAGCTCCTGGTGTTTGACTGGTCAGGCAGGATGCCAGGCCTGGGCTGGGGGCTGGAGCCATGGGGAGAGCTTGCCGGGAGGGGAGGGGGTTGGCAGTAGAGCCGTGTGGGGGCCGGAGCCCAGAGAGGAAGGATCCCAGAAGAATCTGCAGCTGGAGCCAGGACACCTGTGTGGTTCTCTATCCCACCCAGGTGGGAGGTGGATCATCCCCTTTGCAGTTACTGAGCACTGACTGTATGCATCCCCATGGGCCAGCAGCTGGCTGGCAGGCCAAGGCTTGGGTGTGGGCAGGAGCACCTGGGGGCATCTCTGGCCCTGTAGGAACTGCCCCTCTCTCCGCAGGTGGTGTCTGCTGGCTCCAGCAGGGCCGAGAGGCCACCTGCAGCCTGGTGCTGAAGACGGATGTGAGCCAGGCTGAGTGCTGTGCCTCTGGCAACATCGACACTGCCTGGTCCAACTTCACGCACCCGGGGAACAAGATCAGCCTCCTGGGCTTCCTAGGCCTCGTCCACTGCCTCCCCTGCAAAGGTGAGACCCTGTGCGTCAGCAGAAGGCCATGGGCTCTTGGTCAGAGGAGGCACAGGCAAGAATGAGCTTCCTGTCTTGGGGGCATACAGGAGGTTGAGGCTGCTGGCAAGGGGATCCCAGACTCAGAGAGGGTTTGGGGGCCTTCGGGCTCTCAGGCCTCAGCCTCCTGCAGGGAGGATTCCCCAGTTCGGTCCAGCCTCTAGGGTCTCACTCGGGAGGAGTCCTCTGCCTGGGCGGCCTTGCCCACCTTCACTCCACATGGTGGACAGACAGGCACACCTAGCTCCTAGAAAGGTGGATTCTCCCTGACTGGCCGTTAGGGTTTGTGACCCCACACTCAGTGTTCCAAAACACTCATCTGCCCTTAACCTCGCAGATTCCAGGGTCTGTGGTTAGGGCCACAGCTGTATGTTTAACAAGCATTTGCCTTCTGGACTGTGTTCTGTTAAATGCCGCCTCCTCCATCAGACTAGGAGCTCTTTTAAGGCACAATGAATGAATAAATAAGTCAAGACATAGTCTCGTTGGAGACCCTCTCAGCCCCCTGTGCAAGACTGAACCTGCAAGGACCCAGAGGGCGCATGGGGACATGACTTGAAGGAGGTGGGCTCTGGAAACCAGGCTGTTGTTGGATGATTAGGAGTTTGCCAGCTGGAGAGACCATGGTGGGGTGGGTGGGGAGGAGGGAGCATGAGCAGAGACCATGGCCTGGGATCAGACCCAGGTGGGTGGAGTCAGGACAGGGGTGCCGGATGGAAGCTGGAGCTGAGGGCTCCAGACCTGCAGGCCAAGCCGAGGAGCCTGGCTGGCCGGCTGGGATGTGATTAATACCAGATCAGCCTGGCTGGGTGGTCCTGAACTCAACTGCCATGTGCCCTGGCTCCCTCCAGAAGCCCCTCTGGGTTTTGGGAGGAGGACAGACTTCAAAAAGTGCCTGGCCCGGGCCTGACATGGTCCAGGATGCCCTCCCCCCACCTCATCTGGCCCTGGCGACAGGAACTCAGCCCTGCCACTTGTGTTCTAGCGTGCGTGAAGCCACCCCGGGGAGCGTTTCCAGATGTGCGTGTGGGCGGGCAGCACGGGAGGCACCCAGGTGCAGTCCACATGCCCTGGCAGGGAGACATGAGGGGCTCTGGCTGGCCTCTAAAGGAGCTTCCATCACTGTATGCTCACCCTGTAGGGCCCCACTGTTACACTCAGGGCAAATGAGGCCGAAATGTCAACTCGAGCTCAGAGACAGACCCAGACCCACAAACCATGGAGCTGGGGGTCCATTTGATCTGGCCTGGAGTTCTCACACCTAGGTGCCCTGGCTCTCCTCAACTCACAGCTGTGACGGGGCCTGTTTCCCCCTTTGGTGTATATATATATGTATTTGCTCAGTTGCTCAATTATGTCGGACTCTGTGGCCTTGTGGTCTGTAGCCCGCCAAACTCCTCTGTCCATGGGATTCTCCAGGCAAGAACACTGGAGTGGATGGCCATTTCCTACTCCAAGGGATCTTCCCAACCCAGGGATCAAACCTGCATCTCCTGTGTCTCCAGCGTAGGCAGGCAGTTTCTTTACCACTAGCGCCACCTGGGAGGCCCCTTTGGTAAAATGATGACAAAAGGGCACCACCTTGTGGGGGCAGGTGGGAGGCTGTACTGGGCCTGGGAGGCTAAAAGCAGCCTTTCGTGGGGCCGGAGTGGGGGCGAGGACGCCAGAGAGAGATTTATTTCCCTACCTGAGACATGGGGCTGCGGAAGGCGGTAACCCCTGTTTGGAGGGCTCGAGCTGTGTGAGGCCCCCTCCTCAGGAAATGAACCGCAGACCAGGCCAACGCCCCGCCCTCCCCGACGCCTCCTCAGGGGAGGTCCTGGCAGGCGGGAGGAACAGACGCTGCCCATCCTCCTCAACCCCGCGCCTGGACGGGGTGGAGCCCCCCGGGCTGACGCAGCCGGTCCCCCGCCGGCCTTCCCAGAAACGCGCGTAAATCAGGGAACAGACGTCAGCCTGAGCGGGTGGCCCAGCTGCGGAGCGAAAGCCGGACTTGGGGTGAAGCCTGTTCCTCCCAGACCCCCAGATTCCCGGCAGAGACCCCTCGCTTCCGCCCACACTGAGCCCTGCACCCCGACAGAGGCCCGTCCCACGAAATGCGTCGAGTCCTAGTCCACCCCGGAGTGGCTGAAACTCCCCCAGACCCCAAATCAGTTCCCTCCCCCGTGGGCCCCTTCTTCGGACCGCCCCTCACTCCGGTCCGGCCTTTATCCGTTGGAACAGGGAGCGAGGGCGCTGGGCCTCGGAGGACCTCCGGCCTCGGCCACGCGCCGCAGCCCACGCGTGCGTGTCCTCTGTCCACAGATTCGTGCGAGGGCGTGGAGTGCGGCCCTGGCAAGGCCTGCCGCATGCTGGGGGGCCGTCCGCGCTGCGAGTGCGCGCCCGATTGCACCGGGCTCCCGGCGCGCCTGCAGGTCTGCGGTTCTGACGGCGCCACCTACCGCGACGAGTGCGAGCTGCGCGCCGCGCGCTGTCGCGGCCACCCGGACCTGCGCGTGATGTACCGGGGTCGCTGCCGCAGTACGTTGGGGCGGAGCCTTGGGGAGGGGCGGGGCCACCGGGCCTGAGCATCCTGTTAGAGGCCGCTACCTCAGCGCGTGGGGGTGGGTCACTGGCAGGAAGGGGCGGGGTCTACAATCCCGGGTGCTTATTATAGGTCTCGTGGATTTGGGTGCGGCCCCATGGTGGGCGGGACATAGGTATGAGCTCGTGGGTGGGGCCTATAGTCCCAAGAGAGTATCACAAGATCAGGTCTTTTGTGGGATCGGGAATGGGGACGAGTAGGGTGCAAGTTTGAAAAGGGGGCTTCTGGGGCCCCTATGGGGTGAGAAATACGAGTATGTGAGTCAGAGGAGCTTATTGGTGCAAAGTGGGGAGAGAGTGATGGTAGATCTGGGGCGTGGCGTGGTTCGTGGAAGGGGTGTGACTTCGGTGCAACCAGGGGCGGGTCTAAAGGTGGGACCAGTGAATGGGCGGGGCATTTGAAGGGGTGTGGCTTTGGTGCAGCGAGGGGGAGGGGCCTGAAGGCCCCGCCCGTCCGGAGTAGCGCTCTTTACCCGTCCCCACGCCCCACCTGCAGAATCTTGTGCCCACGTGGTTTGCCTGCGGCCACAGTCGTGTGTGGTGGACCAGACTGGCAGCGCGCACTGCGTGGTGTGTCGCGCGGCGCCCTGCCCCGCACCATCCAGCCCCGGCCAGGAACTCTGTGGCAACAACAACGTCACCTACCTGTCCTCCTGCCATCTCCGTCAGGCCACCTGCTTCCTGGGCCGCTCCATCGGCGTGCGCCACCCGGGCAGCTGTGCAGGTGCGGCACGCGGTGGGGAGCAGCGGCGGGGTCTAGCCCCCAGCCCCTCTCCGCGCCCGCATTTCTCTTTTGGTCCCTCCCACTCTACAGGCACCCCCGAGCCGTTAGATCCTGAGTCCGAGGAGGAGGAGGAGAACTTTGTGTGAGCCTGCGGGACCGGCCTGGGCCTGGCGTTCAAGGCTTCCCCATTTTATTTATTGCCACAGCAGAGTCTATTTATGTCCAATGGACACTCCCCAGAACCTGGACAGGGACCACTGTGGGAGCCCTGGTGCCCCTCGACGATATCTTGGAAGGACTGGGGAAAAGAAGCCTGGGAGCAGGCCTGGTGGGTGGGCGCCCAGCCCCTGCAGTCCCCACCCCAGGTACCCTATTGCCCAGGAGGACCTCAAACTTATGCTTCCTCGGGGATCACTCTGTTAATTGTCGCTGCCACCCTAGAGGTCTGGGGATTTCCTGCCAGCAATTAATGAGGTACCCTGGCCTTCTAGAACAGAGACAAGGGGGTGAGAGGGGGTTCACAGCCTGGGTGTGAATAGATGAGCTTCAGAACATGCCCAGACCGCAGACAGATCAAGGAAGCAACCACTGTCCACCACCAGCCCCAGGGTGACCAAGGGACTTATCTTCCCCCTGCTTCACCCATTTCCCAACATGTCCCTGGGGGATGGGAGGTGCCATCTGTGCCTCCTGACCCAGGCCTTGGGTGTGGAGAGACATCTGCTAGAACAAAGCAGGCACCACATAGGGTGGGAGGGACCCAGTGGGGCCTGCGAGGCCCTGCTCACCCACTGGCCCAGGGTGGGGCGTATATGCCAAGACCCACTGTACACCTGGCATCCTGGAGCCATGTGTCTGAGGGGCACCCCTGTGCCTGCTACACCATCCACAGGTGGCGTTCCCTGTATCTTGCTCTGGCCATGCCTCTAGGCCCAGTTCCCAGCTGAACCCTCCTTGCCTGCCAACTGGGTTTCCTCCTGCCACCTGAACTGTTGCTCTGTGTCACCTCCCCATGCCCATCTGTAGACCAGAGGTGCAGACCCAGAGGGGGAGGGGTATCCAGAGGGGCAGGAGCACAGCTTCCCAAGGCAGTGGTGCTCATTCATGTCCTTCCCTGCCTCCAGGAAGTGCCTTACCTGTGACACCCAGAAAAGTGCCCTTTAGTAATGGGTTCACCTGAGCCCACCAACAGGGCAATCTCCCCTGCCCTGGGGTCCTGCCTCACCTGCCAAAGAAATAAACACTGAAAAAGCCACTGTGGGTGTTCAGACCTTGGTTTGCTCCCCTCTCTTTGAACCTTTGTGTCCCCCCACTTTGGGAGGGGGTTACCAGCCTAGGGTGCTGTGGGGGTTTCTGGAAGCATCCAGGAGAGACACAAGTGCATGTCTTTGGGGCAGGTGCTGCCTACTTCTGGGCCTCAGCATCCAGCTTTAGTTGTGGGCAGTAGCAGGCATAGAACTGAGACAGGTGGCATGGGGTTGGGTGGGAGAGTCTTGGCCTTTATGGGGTAGGGGAGGAAAGGAACAGGGTCTGGATGACTTAGGGAAGCCCCAAGAGGCCACTTGGTTTAGGGTCTAGAAATGGTGGTCTGGCCTGGAAGGGTTGGATGTGCCCTAATGACACTGACATGATTAGTGAAAGCACTGGCTGGGGCTCACCCAGCCTTGCCACCAGCTGGGCACCATTTGCCTGAAGTGCTTTTCGAGGATCAGGCTTCACACGGAGTTAGGCCAACCTGAGACCCCACTCTCTCTCAGCCTTGGTTTCCCCATCTGTGAAGGGGTCTGGCCAGAGGGCAGAGGAATGGCGTTCTAGGCAGGGGCCGAGGAGGCCAGGAGACTGTCCCCAGCCTGGGCTGTGAGGCGGGGATGGGAAACTTCAGGGGGGTCAGCATGGGGAGGGGGAGGGAGGATGGTGAGGAGTCCATGGCTCAGGGTCCTGTGGCTCAGGGTCGCTCAGGGAGGGGGTGGCGGAGCTGGACCATTGACCACTTGGAGGCCAAGGAGAAGCTGAAGGGCATGTGGGTGGGCCTTAGGGACAGACCATCATATCTGTGAGTCAGTTAACACTTTATTGTTATTTTTCCCTTTTGTTGGGAACTGACGCCCCCTACCCACCCTGACACCAGGCTTCTTGGGGTTTAGGGGCTCATGGACCCTCTGCTCCAGCCTCAGAGTTTTCCAGGCCGGAGCTATTTGTATCGTTTGCCATCTCGGTGGTGTACGGGTGCTGCTGTGGTTCAGACAACACCTGCTGACCCCCAGTGGTCCTGGGCTGGGGGCCATGCCAAATCACATCCCAGATCCAAGTCACGAAAGCGGACACCTGTGTGTACACGTCGGGCGTCTTGGGATCCCCGCACCAGAGGCCAGAGAAGGAGACGAGGCCATAGGCCCGATTTCTGCATACCAGGGGTCCTCCAGAGTCCGCCTGGGGGTGGAGGCAAAGGTGAGGTCAGGGGTCTCTTGCTGGGCCTCACTTTCCTTAAAGGAGCTAATATGTGTAGATCTAATCTGGACCTTCTCTACCTCAAAACCCTTTTATGTCCCATGGACACTCCCTAGAGCCTGGGCCGGGACCATGGCTCCCCAGTGCTCTTAGAGCAAAGACTAAACACGTCATCTCAGCCTTTAGAGCCTGGAGGAGCCAGCCCCCACCGCTTGTCTGCCCTCCTCTCCCCCAACTCACTTAGTTCCAGCCAGACAGGCCAGCTGTTCCTGCAGCAAACCGAGCTCCCACCTCTGTGTGCTAAGTTGCTTCAGCCGCGTCCAACTCTTCACGACCCTATGGACTATAGCTCTCCAAGCTCCTCTGTCCATGAGATTCTCCAGGAAAGAATACTGAAGTGGGTTGCTGTGCCCTCCTCCAGGGGATCTTCCTGACCCAGGGATCGAAGCCACGTCTCTTACATCTCCTGCATTGGCAGGGGAGTTCTTTACCACAAGCGCCACCTGGGAAGCCCAAACTCCAACCTCTAGGTTTTTGCATATCCTCAAGACCCATTACTGCTCCCTGCTGGACACCCCTTGTATACCACACAAGTGTACAGCTCCTTGTGCAATGTACAACCTGTGCGATGGTCTCTCGGCCTGGCATGTCTCCCCTCAGATATTCTCAAGGCTCCTCCAAGTCTCGAAAGTACTGTCATCAGAGAGGGCTTCCTGAATACTCACCCTAAAATCCCTGCTTCCTCCTCTCCCCAGACTTATCACCCTAATTTTCACCTGGAGTCAGCTCTGACCCAAAGAAATATGTCCTATTGGTGTGACCATTTTACAGATGGATAAAGTGAGGTCCTGAGAAGTGAGAAGACTTTTCCAAGACCACATGTGTAGGAAGTGGCTCAGTCTGGATGTGGACCCGGGCAGTTGGGCTCTAGAATCTGAACCATGCATTCTCTTGGCTAGAAAAAAAGACACTCCCCTGCTCCCAGTCCAGGCTGTGTTTCTCCCTGGGCATCAGGGCCAGGTTTGCCATTAATCCATACAAAGACTTAGGAGCAGAAGCGTCTTCCTTGAGATCTGGACACTGCTTTTAAAGACACAAAACTGTAGTCCTTTGTGCGGTGCACAACCTGTGCAGCCATACATGGCAGCCCTGTGACCTTGGGGGCTCCCTCCCCTTCCCAGGCCTCACCAACTGGTCAAAGGTGAGCTTGGACTTAGTTGCCAAGGCTCTCTGACAAGCTCTGACCTCTCTGAGGGCCTCAGTTTCCCCACAAGGCAAGCAGGCAGGACCGAGAGTGAACATCTCACCGAGCAGAAGCCACGTCGCCGGCGGTCCCCACTGTGGGTGCAGAGCATGGCAGGGCTCAGCTGCCCCTTCCAGGAACTGTTGCAGGCGTCCAGCCCCAGCACGCGGACCTCGGCTTCCATCAGCCCAGGGGGTAGTTCCTCGAAGTCGGACACGGAGCCCCAGCCGGCCACCTTGCAGCGTGTCCCAGCCCGGGGAGGCCTGGCGCCCCTCCGTGGCAGCCCCAGTAGTCCCACTGTAGGACCCAGGGTGGCAGAGCTATTCAGCTGCAGGGGCGGAAGGTGTGGGGAAGTTAGGCCTGCCTGCAGCCGCCCCCTGCCACCCCCACCCATCTACCTATCCTCATCTCTTCCTGTCCTTGTGGAGAGAAGTCAGTAGCAGCTGTTCTTAGGCTGACAGAGGGCCCGGCTGCTTCTGCCACCTTGGGCCCCTGCTTATCAGACCTCACCAGCCTCCATGCCTCCAGTCTCACCTCTGCAGCTGCCCAGGGGTCCTGCTAACCAGCATCTCCTTCCCTGCTCTGAGCTCTCCTCCAGTGCCCATTGCCCTTAGGACACAGAGATAAAAAACCTCTTGGTCCATCAGTTGGCCCTTCCCTCCACCCACCTGCACACTTGCTCACACTGGAACACTGCACCCCTTGCTGGGGGTACCTTTCCAATCCAGCTTTTAGGACTCAGCTTAGACACCACTTCCAGGAAGTCCTCCCAGACTGCCAGTCTAGGACAGGTGCCTCCTCTGGGCTCCCATGTGCTCCTGTCAAAGCTGATTTACTCAGCTGCCACCTAGTTGGCACCTAGGTGCCAACTCCCACCTAGACTGGGAGTTCAGAGGGAGCCAGGCCAGAGGTGTGTGTTCATGGCTGGGTCCCGGTTGCCTGGCACACAGATGGCACTCAATCAGCAGTTATGGACTTGGACCCCTGGTTTGGGTGTTCGCTCCCTGACCTTGGGTGCATCCCTGATCACCCCTGGCCTCAGTTTCCCCATCTGCACAGTAGGCTAGGTGAACCAGAGCAGGGGTTCCAGGCTATGGGGTTTCACAGAGAGGCAGAATTCACACGCCAGCTTTGGCTGCCAACACTGGCTGCCACATTATATTTATATTTTGCCAAGAAAACCCCACACCCTAGACCCTCCTGTTCCCAGGGTTTCATTTCTGTTGTGTTGAGTGTCCCCTCTGTTTTATTTTTACCACATTTCAAGGGCAGTTTGGGGATATTCTCCCTTTAAATGGCAGCCCCGGAGTGCCTGGGGTTGAATTTGAGGCCCCCCAGGTGGGGGCTGTGGGAAGGGTGGTTCCCCAAGCAGGAAGGGCCATGTGAGGTCCAAATAGAGGCGCATGAGCAGGGAGGGAGGAAACCCCCTGGAGGGCCTGAGGGGGCAGGGATCAGGGTCTTTGACGGCCCCACAGTCTCACTGTTTCCCTCTTTCAGCATGAATGTTGAGCGTCTGCTGTGTACCATAACTCACCACAAATGAGATAAAAATCCCCGCCCTCGAGGGCGGAGGTGGAACCAGTGGTACAGGTGCTTCCAGAAGGTGTGGGCGGTACTGGACACAGGAGAGGTGATAGGGTGAGAAGGGGGGAGCCAGGGACAGCTGAGAACTGGAGGTCATTAAGGGAGGTTGCCCGAGAAGGGGACAACTGAGCAGAGACCTGAAAGTCACACGGAGTCTGGGGAACATGGGCCGGGCAGGGCCACAGCCAGTGCAAAGGCTTGGGGGTCAGAGCCAGTTGGGGTGCTGACCGCTCAGCGAGCAGCAGGCCAAGCGGGCGGTGTGGGTGTTCCAGAAGGCAGCGGAGTGACTTGACTCACGGGTGCTCACAGGCGCCTAACAGCTGTTTTTAAACAAGTTAGGCCATAGTAAGGGGAGGGGTAGGGACAAGTCAGACCTGCACTGAGGGCCCCATCCCCACGCAATGGGTCACCTGCAGCAGACAGATGTCACTGTTGTGCGTGGTGGGCTGGTAGTCTGGGTGCGTGATGATGGCGGAGATGCTGAACACCTGCTGTGTGGCCTCCACAGTGCGCAGGGCATGGGCCCCCAGCACTACCAGGCCTGTCCCGGGGTCTCTGTTGGGGAGAATGGGTGGGGAATGTGAGCAAGGCTGAGGTGAGGGCCACCTCGCACAGGCTCAGTCTCTCCCCTCCTGGGGAGTAAGCCCATGCCATCCTCCTGCCAGCCTGTGATGATAAACGTTGAGTTGATCACCCTCCCACCTCAATTATGATATTAACTCCAATCACTGCAATATATATATATATATATATTTTTTTTTTACCACTCCACATGACATGTGGCATCTTAGTTCCCTGACCAGGGATCAAACCCATGGCCCCTGCAGTGAAAGTGTGGAGTCCTAACTGCCGAATCACCAGGGGAGTCCTGCTGCACTATTGATTTGAATACTTATTATAACAGTATACTTCAAATGAATATAACACTCATTATATTTATTCTAATTCCCATCTGGATTGTAGCATTGCCTCCAATAATTTCAATATTAATGTTAGTCATTATTATATCAATATAGTCAGAATGAGGGCTTCCCAAGTGGCGCTAGTGGTAAAGAACCCGCCTGCCAATGCAGGAGACTGCGATTCGATCCCTGGGTTGGGATGATCCCCTGGAGAAGGGCATGGCAACCCACTCCAGTATTCCTGCCTGAAGAATCCCATGGACAGAGGAGCCTGGTGGGCTATAATCCGTGGAGTCTCAAAGAGTCAGACATGACTGAAGCGACTTAGTATGCTTATAAGCACACACTCAGGATGAATGCAACACCCTTAGTGCTGTAACCTCTGCTTGTGGTCATGGCTGCCGGTCCTTCCCTACTTCTCCTGCCCCTTTTTCTCTGTTAACTCCCCCTGCCCAGCTGAGAGGCCCATCTGCACAAGTCCCCCTCTACCCCCCTGCCCACACCAGTACATGCCCTCATCCCAGGCTCACCGGCCGCTGAAGCAGTGGGCAGCCGACACGACCCAGCGGGCTCGCAGCAGGAAGCCCCCGCAGTGGTGCTGGCCCTGGAACTTCACAGATGCCATGTAGGGCCGGGAGTGGGGGGTCACCTCGTGGCCCCCAATGATCTGTGCCCCCCAGGAGCCTGCAGGCAGGGTGGGTGGCCTGTCAGGGGTGGGCAGGATGGGGTAGGGGTCAGGCTGGGGGGAGGCAGGAGAGACAAAGATGGAAAGAGAAGACCCTGGAGTTTGCAGAGTGGGGGGCCGGACTCCCTAAAACCTGGGGCTTGGGCTGGGCCTCCTGCCTGTCCCCAAGCTGTGACCCGAGAGGAGCAGCCGTGCAGGGGGCGGGGGCTTCCTGGATGGGTCCCTGAGGGCCTCTGGCAAGCTTGGGTGGAGTACTTGGGGGTCCTCACCTGGGGGCCTCATGGGCAGTGTCAGGGCAGCGGTCACCGTCAGCAGCAGGCGGCCCTGGTCCCCCACCCCAAGCCCCATGGCTGTCACAGGCAGGTGTGTCCCTGGAGAGCCCAATGGGCCGCACCCCTCCCAACGTCCAGGAAAGGGGGAACAGGGCTGTGGCCTGTGGTCGGAGGCCCCACTAGCAACGGCCAGTTCTGAGCCAGCACTTTAGAAAACCTGATGATTCTCCTGCATTGGGGTTGTTGATGACAATCATAATTGCCTGGGAGACCAGCAGTGGAGGGGGTGTGAGGGCTCCAGGGCCATGTGACCCCAGAGGCCCCTTGTGCGGGCTGAGTAGCTATTCGCCCAGAAACCAAGTAACCAGTAACCGGTTCACCAGAAACTGATAAGCAGCCAGAAGCGCTGCAGCCTCGGCCGCCCCTCCGGGTTGGGGGCCAGCTCACCAGGTGGAGGCAGTCCTGCCCCAGCCCTGCCGGTTACTGCCTCTGGCCTCAGTCTCCCCATGTGCAATCCCAGGCCCGGAAAGCCCTGTGATTCCTGCTGCCTTTGCTGCATGTATTGAGCACCTACTGTATACCAGCCTCTAGTAGGTGCTAGAGGTGAAGCGTAATGTGACAAAGGCCCCCACACCCTTAGTGCTGATGTTTCTCCCAGTTGAGGGTGTAGATCCCCTGGTCTGGGCTCACGACGGAAGCACAGGGCCTGGCGGTCAGATAACACCGAGCTCATTGGGTCAGTTCAGACCCTTGAAGGTGGGGCCAAGTGACAGGGGCTCCTCCTGTGGGCACTGGGGAGCCAAGGAGGCCTCAGAGCAGGGAGGGGGCGGCAGGGCCTTGGTGAGCCTATGGACACACAGGCCAGAGACCCTGTGCTGCCCTGGGGAGGCTTTGCTGAGGCCCCACTAAGGTGGAGACGCAATGAGAGGTCTGGGAGGCAGGTTAGAATTCCAACATGGGCTCACGGGGCTGAATCCAGGTGTGGGCAGGGTTGGTCCCTTTGGAGGCTCCTGGGGAGCACCGGCTCCCCCCTTTCCTAGCTTCTAGAGGAGCGGCATCCTAGACTTGCGGCTCCTCTCTCCATCGTCACAGCCAGCAGTGCAGCATCTCCTGTCTCTCTGCCTCTGATCCTCCCCTGTCCCTTTTATAAGGACCCTGTGATGACACTGGGCCCCTTGGGGAGTCCAGGGTCGTCCCCATCTCAGGTTGTTGTCGTTCAGTCGCTCAGTCAAGTCTGACTCTTTGCAACCCCATAGAATGCAGCAGGCCAGCCTCCTCTGTCCTTCACTCTCCTGGGGTTTGCACAGATTCATGTCCATTGAGTCAGTGATGCTATCTAACCATCTCATCCTCTGTCGCCCCCTTCTCCTCCTGCCCTCAATCTTTCCCAGCATCAGGGACTTTTCCAGTGAGTCAGCTGTTTGAATCATGTGGCCAAAGTACTGGAGCTTCAGCTTCAGCATCAGCCCTTCTAATGGATATTCAGGGTTGATTTCCTTTAAGATTGACTGGTTTGATCTCCTTGCTGTCCAAGGGACTCTCAAGAGTCTTCTCCAACTCCACAGTTCAAAAGCATCAATTCTTCGGCGCTCAGCTTTCTTTATGGTTCAACTCTCACTTCCATATATGACTACTGGAGAAACCATAACTTTGACTAGACAGATCTTTGTCGGCAAAGTGATGTCTCTGCTTTTTAATACGGTGTCTAGGTTTGTCATAGCTTTTTCCCATCTCAGGGGCCTTAACTTAATCTCACCTGCAAAGTCCCCTCTGCCCCATGAGGTGACATGTCCACAGGCCCCAAAATGAGGACAGAGGTGTTGTGGGGCTATATTTAGCCAGCCTCAACCCCCTGTGTTAATTACTTTGCTGTATTGTTATCACCCATTGTACTGACAAGGAAAATGAGGCACAGCCTTAAAAGTGGCAGGGTGAGGGCAGAACCAGCTGGTTTGGAAAGAAACATGGCATGCAGGCACCTGGATCTCATCTCAGCAAGGCTAACCAACCAGGTAAGCAGATGTGATTTTTTAAAATTTATTAATTTTTGGCTGTGCTGGGTCTTCATGTGAGTGGGGGCTACTCCTCAGTTGCAGTGTGGGGGCTTCTTATCGCGGTGGCTTCTCTTGTTGCCGAGCAGACTCCAGAGCACAGGCTCAGTAGTGTGCATGGGCTTAGTTGCTGCATGGCTTGTGGGATCTTCCCAGAGCAGGGATCAAACCAGTGTCTCATGCATTGCAAGGTGAATTCTTAACCAGTGGACTACCGGGGAAGCCCAGGCATGTGATTCTAGGCCACTAAGTTTGTGGTGATGTGACTGCAACTGCAGGAACCATCAGGCCTTGAACACAGAGCAAAGTGGGAAACAGGGTCCACGTGGAGGTCGTTTTTGGGGTCTAGGCCAGGCTGGACCCTGTGCTTCCCCAGAGGTCAAAGCAGCTGGTAGGGGATTATTCCTTAGGTGACTTCAGTGGCTCCTGTCCACTATGGGGCCTGGGATTGGCCTGTCACAGCTGTGCTCCCGTGTCGGTCACGTCTCCCAGCCACACGCCCCAGGGTGTGTAGGACTCATGCAGTCCTAGAGAAACCCAAGGCTGTTGGTATTGTTGCAGTCCCCATGTTACTGACAGGGGAAACAGAGGCACAGAAAGGTCAAGTGCTTTGACCAAGGTTGCACAGCGAGGGAGCGATGCACCAGAGTTGCAGCCTCAGACCAGCTCCTGTTGTCTCTGCCAGGGGCCAACTGTGCCCACAACCTGGCACATTTCCTTCTTTTCTGGTGAGAGTTGTGAAACCAGCAACCGTCTTTCAAGGATCCGAATAACCAAGCTCGTTGAAGTCCTAAGGAACCTCCTGTGTGGGGCTCAGTGTTTCCATTTCCTAAACCAAGGCCCAGAGAGAGGAGCCTGGCTGGTCTGGGGTCACACAGCAGAGGGTCTTGAAACCAGAACTCTGAGACTTGAAGGGTCTTTGAATGGAGGATTTGGTGGCTTTCTAAGTCATAGCAACGACGGTGATGATGATGATGAGAATGATGAGAAAACTCCCTTTACTTAACACTTACTCTTGTTGTTGATTTGTTGGAGCTTTTTATATATTGAGGAGGTTAGCTCAAAGTCAGTTGCTAAGCAACTGAGTAGGGCACACATGTAGTCGGTGTCTTATCACCTTGCCCTGAGTGGGTCATGCAGTCTGTACTCAATAAGTGAACAGGCCCTTCCTTAGCCCAAATTAGTAGCAGAGGTTCAAGCAGTCAAGAGAGGAATGGTGCTTGGTCAAGAGCCCCCTGAGAACTTGAGAAAAACTCAAAATCTTTCCAGTGAACCCCCAGACACAGTGTTGAAGCCCAGGGGCCCCACCCACCCCCACTTGGCCTCCATGTGTCTCAGTTTCTTCATCTGTGGATGGGGTTGGTGCTTGGCCTGGGGCACAGGCCATACAGGGGTCGCTGGCGACGCTTACCCTTTACTTTTTTAACCCTTTTAACTCACACTCCAAGGAGATTGCTTCTTATTACTTGAAATGGGCGATGCTGCCTTAAGAACAGCCCAGGGACATCCCTGGTGGTCCAGTGGCTGAGGCTCTGTGCTCCCAATGCAGGGGAACCTGGGTTCAATCCCTGGTCAGGGAACTAGATCCCCCATGCCACAACTAAGATCCAGTGCAGCCAAATAAACATTTTTTTTTTTAAAGAATAAACAGCCCAACCCACCATCATCTTGTATGGCAGTCACTCCCCTGCGGATGGCAGCCCTGGCCAGTGAGGGATCGTGCCGGACACCATTGCACTTCCCAGACTTTCTCCTGGACCTGCATCCATCCGAGGACCTGGTAGAGAACAGAGAAAGGGATGTGTGGGTCTCAGTGGGTGGCACATGGGGGCCTGAGCAAACCCATTCAATGGATGGGTCTCTGAAGCAGCAGGCAGAGCCTCACCACTTCTCTCCACCTTGTCTGCCTTTTCAGCCTCCAGGATTTCTGCAGGGGGAGGATGGGTCACTGTTGGGGTCCCTAGAGCTGGCCCCGCAGCTGTCTGGGCCTCAGTCTCCTCCTCTGGAGAACAGATGACCTGAGAGGGTCTCTAAGGGTGTTGGTGAGAACTCAGCAGGGGGCTGGGTGTCCTGTGCGCCCCTCATCTGTAAACTGCACGCTAGTGCCACCACTCCTGCTGAGAGGATCACAGGAGACAGCAGGAGGTATGCAGTCCTTCACTCCATGAGTGTTTACTGAGCGCCTGCTGTGAGCAGGCACCAGATGTTGGGGGAAGGGGACACAGAAGAAGGACACAGACCCCTGCTCTGGCGGAGAGCTGGGTGGGAAACACCACAGTTAGTGACATCATCAGAGGCGGAATTCAGGAGGGAAAGTGACTGAAGTCGGCAGGAAGCAGAGGGAGGACAGTAGGATTTTAGAGCAAGAAGGAGACCCAGGAACATGGGGAAGGTGGGAAGAGGCTCCTGGAGGAGGGCCCAGTGGGTGAGCGGCAGGGTGAGCGGCAGGGGCAGGGGAAGGAAGGGCGCTTGCAGGGCTCAGCTGGGCCTTGAGAGCCAGGCTGCAGGGCACTGGGAAGCTATAGAAGGTGCTTGAGTGGGGCAGGTGGGGGCAGACCCTCTGGTGAGAGTGGAGAGGAGAGAGGAGGCAGGGAGACAGGGAGAGGGCAATGAAAGGAGGCAGGAGTAGGAGGCACAGGGCCTGAGCTAGAGTCCGGGCTGGGAGACGTGGAGGGGTGGGTCTCTGACTCGGGAACAGGGAAGGGGTGGTGACTGGGGCCCATGCAGAGCCCAGTGTCAGACCCGCTGAAGTCCAGATGCCCAGGGGATGTCCAGTAATGGCGAGAGCCATGAGGTGGGCATGCCTGTTTCGTAAATAAAGTTTTATTGGCACAGGGCCACTTGATGCTGCAATCTACTGCCTCTGGCTGCAATGGCAGAATTGAGTCCTTGCAACAGATCAGCCAGCCCGCAATGCTGGGAATATTTACTATCTAGCCCTTTACAGAAGAAGTGCCAACCCCTGCGCGAGTGTGAGCTGGGCCCTGTTCCAAGTCCTTCAGCAGCCCTAGGAGGTAGGGAAGTGAGGCTCAGAGAGGTTAAGGAGCAGACCTGGCATCACACAGCACCTGAGGAGCTGAGCTGGGACTGGAACCCGGGCCCCCTGATGTTTCTGAGCCTTTTTCTTTGTTCTGTTTGGTAGTTTATTTCATTCTTTCCCTGCTAAATGGGTGCATGTTCACTGTAAAAAGGAGGTGCAAAGGCCTTTGGGGGTAAAGGTAGGCAGCCACCCATCTGGGGCACATCCTACCCCATCTTTCTCCAGACCTCATCCAAGCCTGTTTCATTTGTTTTTGTCTTTCAGTCGCTCAGTTGTGTCTGACTTTTTGTGACCCCATGGACTGTAGCACGCCAGGCTGTCCTTCACCATCTCCCGGAGCTTGCTCAAGCTCACATCCACTGAGTTGGCGATGTCATCCAACCATCTCATCCTCTGTTGCCCCCTTCTCCTTCTGCTGTCAGTCTTTTCCAGTGAGTCAGCTGTTTGCATCAGGTGGCCAAAGTATTGGAGCTTCAGCTTCAGCATCAGTACTTCAAATGAATATTCAGGGTTGATTTCCTTTAGGATTGACTGGGTTGATCTCCTTGCAGTCCACGGGACTCTCAAGAGTCTTCTCCAACACCGCAGTTCCTTTTCACACCCATTTACTCAGCACCACTGAGCAGAATCGTTTTACAAAAGCCCCAAGTACTTCAAAAGCACCTCCCTCTCTGCTCCCTCTCAACTACCCTACAGACTAAATGTGTTCAGAGCCTGAGGGCTAGTGTCCTAAGACAAGTCTGCCTCCCTCCAGATCTGTGGGGTCCACATGAATGGAGGACCCAAGATAGACCACAGGGAACAGAGGGAGAGCAGGGGATAGAGTTGGCTCTTTCAGCTGCCCGGACCTGCTCCCCCTGGGGTGCACCCTCCCAACAACACGGGCCAGGCCTCCCCCTTGGGGATCCAGCTGTCTGGCCAGTGTTTCCTTCCTGTCCCCCAGGCCCCGTTCATGTCACATGTCCTTCCAGTAGCTCAGGCCGGAGAGGGGACCAATGATGCCTGTCACCCCACATCCCATCCCGTGGCCATTTGCAGCACCACCTTTCAAGATCCATCCAGAATCTATCTGGTTCTCAGCCTGGGCCAGCCTCCACCAGGTCCCTGTTCAGCCACTTCTGGACTCCAAGCCCCCTCCCCTTAGCGCCTCTTCATCCGCTCCCCACCTTGCAGGCCAAGTGGCTTTTGCAAACATAAACCGGGGTGACCCTCTCTTCCTCTAAACTCTGCTGTGGCTCCCCAGTGCCCTTCAGACAGTCTGAATTCTCCCTACTCCCTCCACGGACCCCTCACTCACTCTGACCACACAGGCCTGTTTGCCCCGAGAGCGCTATGGGGCAGATTAAGTTCCTTAACCCTCGTCCAAACGTAGGGCCAGGCCCAAAGCCCAGCCAGAGCTCAGGAGACCAGCAATTGCTTCCTCCTCGCACGGGCCCGGCTCGGTCCTATCACCGGCCTTGTGCGCTCGCCGCGCCCGTCACCCGGACGCTCTTCTCCAGACACTCCGCGGCCCGCCGGCAGGATCTTCCGTCCACAGCGGGACCGTGAACTCTCGGAGGCGCCTCCCGGGCCTCCCCGAGCGATTTGTCCCTATTCGCAGCCCTCTGGCGGGGAAGCTGGGGAGGGGAGGCATGGATGGCGGCCAAGCTGGGTCCCCGGCCGGCGCCCGGACCGGCTCGGCACGAGAATCAGACCTGCGCCGAGATAGAATGAATGGGTCAGGGCGGCCAGAGCTTCGGGCCGACAGGGCGGGAGGGCGCGCGGTGGCCGGGGCGCGGCGGCGGCCGGCAGGAGGCGCAGGCGGGCGGCGGCGGGAGGCGAGGAGCCGGCGGGAGGGGGCGCGAGCGAAACGCGGCGGCGGCGGCGCGCGCGCCCAGCCCACCCCCCGCGCCCGCCACCGCGCGGACAATAAACAGCCGCGCGCGGGGCGATGCCCGCGCCGGTACCACCGCCCCCGCGCCGCGCAGCCCCGGCCTCCTGGCCTTAGCCCTCCGGCCCTCCCCGCGCGCCCCCGCCGCCGGCCTCGCGGACCCACTGATCTCGGCAGGGAGATGGAGTGAGTAGCGCGCTCGCGCCTGGGGCGCCCGGGAGGCTGAGGCCCTGATTCTCGCCCCCACAGCGCTGGCGGGGAGGTGGCGAGGGACTCCCGGGACCCCCGCTCAGCCAGGGAGGGACTCGGGCTGGGCCGTACCCGCCCCAGGCCCCCCTTTCGACCCGGCCCCGGCGGCCCACGGGCTCACGAGGACTCGGGCGGCGGCGGCTGGGGGCGGCCCGGGACGCGTGAGCGTGTGGGGAGGGGACGCACTGTGCCTCCGCCCTCGTGGCCCGGGCGGGCTGCAGCCCTCCTGCTTCTGGGGCGGTGGGGCGACCCCTCCTCACTGCACCGCCGGGCCTGGAGCTCGCTTCCCAGCCCTGGCCTGCGCTCGCTGCGCCCTGTGCCCTGGACGCGCACCGGCCGGTCCTCCCTCGCCTGGCTGCCCTCCCCAAGGGCCTCGAGTGCTGTCCGGAGCCCCTGCTAAGGCGGGGGTCCAGCCGCCCGATTTCCCGGCTTATAGTGGGCTTTGCTCCAGGATTCCGGGTCTGGCATGTGTGTGAGCCCAGGGGTCCGTGTGCTTTCCAACAGCGGAGCTTGGGTCCCCTCCCTTCTTGGAGAAAGTGTCTCTGAGGTGGGGCCCCTAATGATGTAGCCGAGAGTCTGCTAGCCTGGGCTTCAGGGTAGGAGTAGGTGAGTGGGCTGTGTGCCGGGGCTTGGATGAAGGACTGCAGGGCAGCGGCGGTCCCTGCACTAGCAGATGCCATGTGTGTGCCTGGTCATTTGTGGGGCGGGTCCTCTGTTCCTGGCGTCAGGGCATCCCCCACGCCCCTACTCCCACAGGTGGACGCAGGGAGGATGTGGGGTGTGTTTACATCGGCAGGGACTGGGAAGGTGGTGTCTGGTGTCCTGCATCCCCCCTGCCCTATGCGGGGGCCAGAGACTGCCCCACTCTGGGCCAGATCCCCACCCTGCCCCGGGGCCCAGACATGGAGGTCCAGCCAGCCCACCCAGCTGGCTCCTGGGCCCTTCCCACTGGGTGTGTTTTCCAAGCCTGCAACTTTCCTCCGGGGGATTCACCCGTGACCCACCACACCCTCAGCTGGGTGGGAGCCGCTGCCTCCGGCCCCCACCTCCTGGCAAGGCAACACCCTATGTCCTCTGCTTTTGAAAACCCAGACAAAGGCCCGGCCTGGCCCGGGAGCCCAGCCAGGGGCTCAGGGGAGCAGGGACCCAGACCTGTCTGCTATGCTCCCCTCACCTGTTTATCTGCTGTGCTCCCAGGGGCCCAAGAGAGCCTCTGGGCCTCCAGACAGCGGGCTCTGGGCAGGGTGTGGCCTTGAGGAGGGGGCTGCCTGAGGGAGGAGGCGTGAAGAGGAAACGCCCACCCAGAGCAGAGGAATGAGATGAGATATTCAGGATGGACCCCATTGTTTCCTTTCCCGCCACCCTGTTCATTCTCCACGGGTTTACAGAGGCCCAGAGACCGACAGCCGCAGGCCCAGAGACGGACAGCCACTGCCCCAGGGCCACAGCACACAGAGGGCTCCTGGGTGCTTGCCGCCCTGACCCCAGGCCTTCTTGGTCACAGTCAGATGTGGTGCCGGGGTCTCCCCATTAGGCGGATCCCTGGTTTTTCTGGGTGCAGGTGTGGGACGGGACTTGGCCTTAATTGCCCAAGTAGCCGTGCAAGGAAGCCAGTCCCCAGGGCTGGAGTGGACGATGGGTGGGGAGGGGCTCCATCTGCTCCCCACATGAACACCTGCCCGGCCCTCCGTCCTTCTTCATGGGAGCACAGCCCCCACCAGGGCGCAATCGTTCACCTCCCTCGTTTCCATGGATTCTGCCATCACGGGAGATGGTGATGCTGGAAACTTTCTTTTAAAAAGACGTTTAGCATTTGACAGATTTTCATCATTTTAAGCATTAAACAAATTTTCACTAATTTGAGAACATAAGAATTCTTACCAGCCAGTGAGGGCGATGGGTGGTGCTCTAAAGGTGGGACGAAGGTGGGGCTGGGAACTGGGGGACAGGGAGCTGGGTGCATCCTGCCATGGGGAGGGGCTGCTGGTGGCCCCAAGGGAGGGGCTGCTCCTCTGGCCCCTTAGCTGGGAGCAGCCATCTCAGATGTCCACATCCTCTCTGGTGAGCATGAGGATCGGGCCCCGTATGGGGCAGGAAAGCACAGTTGGGTCAGGACTCATCAGGTCCCTTCTCATCCTGAGGCCTGAACAGTTTCAGGGAGATCGGCTCAACTGGGTGCGAACTGCATCCTTAATGCTCCTGCACATGCTGATCTCCCTCTCTAATGAGAAGCAGAACCAGTATCTAGTGATAATAGAACTTAATAATGAGTTTTTATTTTCATGGTATCTCTTTTAAAAGTGTTTTTACTCTGATGGTTTTGGCACTGGCTTCTGGTTTTCCCAGCCTTGGTAACATTTCCTTTGAAAACAAAGGGGTTGGATTTAAACAGTGAGTGGATTCAAAGGGAAGAACATGACGATAATCCTAGAGGTGGTGGCAGGAAGACAGGAAAGTGGCCTAAGAGGTGCAGGTGTGACATTTACTTGACAATTATTGAGTGCTTGCTGTGTACTGGGCCCCTTTCTGAATGCTTCGTTCCCGTGGACACACTTGGTCCTGTGAGGTGGGGAAACTGAGGCACGGAAAGGTGACTGGATATGCCCAAGGCGACACAGCCGAAGAGGGTGATGCTGGCATTTGCTCTTAGGCCTTCTGGTGCTGAGGAGGGGGGCTGAGGAAGGGCCTTTGCACCTTCTTGTCCAGGGGCTGTGGACTGGTGGTTCTAGGTATCCAGACATCAGTTTTTCAGCCTGGTTGGCCGATTGGGGTGCACAGAGGTGGCCTTTGTTGTGGTCTGGTCTCCCAGGGGCCATCTACCCTTGATCCACTGCCAGGGAACCCTCTGTGTCTGCTGACTTGGAGAGGGTTTCCTCACCCACCATGGGGTCTTGGTCAGGCCGTCCCCTTCTCTGAACCTCACTTTTCTCATATGGTGAATGGAGCATCCTGGGTGGTCCCCAGGTGGGGAGGCCCATCTTCAGAGGCTTCAGGTTTTGATGCAGGAAAACGAGTTGACTTTCTTAAAAAAACATCGCATCACCTTTCCCCCAGTCTGAGACCCTACTGCCTCCATCCTTTCTCTACCCAGGAAGCCTGGCATCTGCTTTTTGGGAGGTTGTTTGTTGGTTTGTTTTTGGCCATACCATGTGGCTTGCAGGATCACAGTTTCCCTACCAAGGATCGAACCTGGGCCCTAGCAGTGAAAACACCAAGTTCTAACCACCAAACCACCAGGGAAGTCTCTCATCTGGTCATTTAAGAAACACTTCCTGCCAACCACCATAGCCCTGTGCAGGATCAGAGGGGCCTGGGGGAGCCTGTGGAGGGTCTTCTTTGAGGTGTGGGAAAGGTATCCTGCTCCATTATATTATGGACCTTTTTTGTAAAAGATACTTCAAAGTTTTCCCAGGCAGGCAGAAGGGTGCAGCAGGTGGAAAGACTGGTCTGTGCAAAGGACCAGAGGTGGGAAAGTGTAGGGAGAAGAGCGTTCTTTGGTTTGTGCTCTTGGGGCCAGGTCCTCCTGGGCCTACAGTGCACATCTGGGAATCCATGGGGAGCCATGGGTGGTGTCTGAGCAGAAGAGGAGAGAGGTGCTGACCCAGGCACCAGAAACAGGCTCTGGCGGCTAAGGGGCCAGAGCAGGGAGCAGGGAGAAGCAGCTCAGGACTCAGCCTGGACAGGCCATTGGGGACAGCTGGTGGAGAAATGCCGGAGCTGGGGCAGGAGTGGCAGGACCCCACGTCTGGGTGGGCGTGGACCTGACTTCAGAACTCTGTGATGGTCAGAGCTGCCTACAGAGATGGGGGCTTGGTCAGGGTGAGACAGCCCAGTCCCTGGATGTGCTGGGAGGCTAGGGTGCATCAAGACCATGCTTCAGAGGTTTTCCGTGGAGCACGAGATAGCTGAGCGGAGGTTGTGGTGCTGAGGAGTGGAGATCTGGGCTGCGGTTTTTGTCTCCTGCCTGTGGGTTTCAACTAGGAACTCAGGGCAAGTCAGAACCATCCCTGGGACAGCCTGGATGGGGCCAGGTATTGGGAGGAGAAGCCTGACCCAGGTCCTGAGGTAGGAAGACAGGTGAGGACAAGAGTGAGCCTGGGAGCCCAGCCTGGGCAAGTGGGGGCGCAGGTGGGGGGCCAGCAAGGCTTGGCGGGGGCTTCTAGTAACAGCTGTCAGGGAGTGGGCAGGTGATGACCAGGTCAGGTTGTGTTCAGATCCTGCTAATCCTGAAGAGCCTCAGAGCAGGGCTGGCAGGACCTTATGATGTCCCTGGGGTGGCTGCCTCACCCCCAGTATGGCCCTTGATGAGACCGTCAGCATCTCTGCTGTATATATGTGTATATTTATTTATTTATTCTTACCAGCTTGTTTGAGATCATTCACACACCACACGATGCACCTGTTTAAAGTGGCTCATTGGTTTTCAGTACAAGCATAGAGTCCATTTAGTGGTTTTCAGTATATGCACAGAGTTGTTCAGCCATCACCTCTAATTCCAGAACATTCCATCAACCCCCCAAAACCCCATTCCCACCATCCCCCAAACCCTGACAACCACTAATCCCCTGTCTGTGGATCTGCCTGTTCTGGACGTTTCCCATTAGTGGAATCACACCCTGTGTGTCCTTCTGTGTCTGCTTCTCTCACTGAGCAACATATTCTCAGGGTCCGTCCACCTGGTAGTGAGCGTCAGGCCTTCACCACTTTTCAGGGCTGAGTGATGCTCCCATGTATGGAAGGACCACCTTGTGTTTATCCATCATCTGTTGGTGGGCATTTAAGTTGTTCTTGTATTAATTTGTAAGTCACTTCTGAGGCAGCTGGGGCTTGTTCTTTGTCCTCTCTTGAATGTGGGGAGCCCAGTTACTATTTTAGATGAATTTAAGATGTGACAGTGAATTTCTTTAAAAAAAAAAAAAGAAGTGATCACAGGACAGATGGTCCGGGGTGAGTGGGGGGGCATGGCAGGAGTGTGACAAGGGTAGGGAGCCCTTAGGTTGGGGCCTCCTTTGGAAATGGAAGGACCCTACCACACATGCTCACCCAGTGGACATTTATTGAGTGTCTGCTGTATACTGGGGACAAAAGTGAAAGTTAAGTCACTCAGTCGCGTCAGACTGAGTCACTCAGACTCTTTGTGACCCCATGGACTGTAGCCTACCAGGCTCCTCCATCCATGGGATTTTCCAGGCAAGAGTACTGGAGTGGGTTGCAGGAACAAAAAGAGACAGTTACTGTCCTTGTGGAGAAATCAACAAAATAAGTAAAATCATTAGGTTTTCTTGGATGATAAGGGCTGGGGGGTGGGGTTTGGAGGTGCTGGGGTTAATTAGGGTCAGAGGAGGCCAGAGTAAGGACGTGACATCTGAAGACAGGCCCCAGGAGTCGTGAGCCCCTTGGAGACCTGGTAGGGGTGTTCCAGGCCTGGACACAGTCCATGCAAAGGCCCTGAGGTAGGATCGCACCTAAAATGTTTGAGGCGCTGGAAGTGGAGTGAGGGGTGGGGAGGGATGCAGGTCTGTGGGGCTGGTCTCTGCAGGGGCATTTGCCTGAAGCCAGAGGAGGCGCGGCCCTGAGGGTTGGCGGGCGTTCATGCCCTGCTGCCCTGTTCTGTTGTGAGGGCCTGGGGCAGGGTCCAGCTCCCCTGCCCCCTATCCCAGGTTAATAGGCAACAGTTTTTCTTTCCTGGGTCTGTGGCCTGCTGCAACCTCCGTCTCCACCTTGGTGGTGATGTCTCTCTGCCTGGAAACTTCTGGAAAGCCCGTGCCTCAAGGGCTGTCCACCTCACCAGTGACATCAGTGGTCCTAGGGGCTCACCTGTGCTGAGGGCTGAGGGGCTTCAAGAAGAATTCCTTCCTGATGAGGGGAAGAGACTCAGGAAGGCTCCCTGAAAGAGGCAGCTATGTCTTGAGTTGAGACTGGAGGTGAAGGAGAGAAAGGGGAAAGGTGAGGGGCTGAGTGCCTGATGAGAGGCTGAGGTTCACTCAGGGTGAGGGAACTGTGGGTGGATCTATAGCGAGGAAGGTGCTGGCCCTTAGGAGGGGCCAGGGCTGGTGCTGGGAACCAGCCTCCCGAACTCCATCCCCCACTCAACATGGGGAGAGGCCACCGGGCTCCCCTCACCCCCCCCACCCCTCGCCCCGCGTGACTCTGCCTCCCCCCCACCACCACTCATGGCCAAGGTCGTTGTCAGCTGTTTCCTTTCAGTTAGCACAGGAATGTTCCAGCGCTGGGCTCCACGCCTACCTGGACAGGGACCCCCTCATTCTGGCTGTAGCTGCCGGGCGTGGGCTCTGGAAGGACAAGTGTGACCCCCACCCCCTACACTCACCTCCCACCTCCCACACTAGACCCTCCTGCCCCCTGGGTGACCTTGGGCCGGTTGCGTAACCTCTCTGGACCTTTGAAAAATAAGCGCCTTCATAGCTGAGGCCTCTGCCGGGCTTGCTGGGTTCGGGTCTCATTAGCTCATCTCCTGGACCACGATTATCTCACGCGCTCGCAGCCGACGCCCTCGCCGAGTCCTGAGCCGCCCACAAGGCCGCTGGAGCCCAGAATCTGCTCCAAGCTCCGTAAAAATAATCGCGCGGGGACCAGACGCCTGCGCGCACTGACGGTGGGCGTCCTGGCCCAGGGCTTGTCCCTCCTCAGCAGCTGCAAGCTGTGGCCCGTAGCCCAGCGCAGCCAGTGGAGGCTCAGAGACGCAATTGACTTGCCCCGGGTCACACAGCCAGAGGGGGCAGCTGCCCTAAAGCCTCCGCCCAAAATCAGCTTCTCCGCCCAGTGTGTAAATCAAACGTTTTGTGATCCGGCCTCTGCTTTACTTACTGAGCCCGAGTGAGCTTCTCAGGCGTCCCACTGACCACCCCCACCGCAGCCAGGCCAGGGAGACCCTGCGCTCCCTGTGCCCCTGAGCCTGCCCGCCTGTCTGGGTGCAGATCTCACTTCACCATTTAGATCCTTCCTTGATAAAACGGCCATAATTATCCCACGTGCCTCACAGGATCTTCGGGAGATCCGACGCTTAGCTCCCCCCAGACTCAGTTTCCTCTCCGTAAAGTGCGGCCGAGACCCACCCGCGGAACGTGGTTCCTATTCTATTCCTGATTTGTTAGGGAGTTCCAGCCTCCTGTTTTGTTTTGTTTTTCGATTTTTCATGCCGAGCCTTATCTTGGCTTGACCTTGGCTGCCTCGCGCCAAGGGCGGGTTCAGACCCTTCCCGGATAGAAGCCCTTCCCTGGGTGGACGCCCCTATCACCAGACCTGGAAGCCCTCCTCCTGCCGCGGGGGTGGGACAGACCCAGTTACCCATTCGGGTCCCACCCGCTGTAGGCAACCCCTGAAGCCCCGGGCAGGCAGCCCCTCAGCCCCTTAGCTCTGGGCTGGGGGTGGGAGATGCGCCGGCCCCACCCCTGAGCGCCAGCGGGCCTCTGCGTTGCCATGGGGATGGCGCGGTTGCCAGGGCGACCGCCTCCCGTGGGCCCCACCATCCATCACCCGCGGCGGCTGAGCCCAGGGGCTGGGTAGGGTGGGGCGGCTCAGGCGACCCCAGGCCTGGGGAGGGGCACCTGAGAGGGGCGCACTGCCTGCACCCTTGGGGCTGAGACAGGAGATGGGTGGGGAGAGATGGAAATTCTCTCCCTGGGCTGGCGCCTCTCTTCACTGTGCCCGTCTGAACTTCCCCTGCCCTGGCTTGTCCCTGCCGGACTGGCCGCCCCAGTAAGGACACTGCCCGCCTTGTCTCCAGCTTGGCGAGCTGGCCTCACAGCCATCTCTGTGTCCCTGTGTCCAGCCTCAATGGCCACCTTCCCGCCTCCCCAGGGTGGGGACCCAGTATTAGGCAGCTTGGTCCGCTTGCCCTCTGTGGTCCTGTTTGCACTGGGGTCTCAGCTGCTATGCCCCCCTCGTGCAACTCTGCCTCCTGCCTGGGTGGGCTCCTGGAGGCTGAACTAGAGCTGTGTGGAAAAGGGGAGGCCTGTGGTACAGCCTGGGGCTGAGCAGCTGTGGTTTGAATCCCAGCTCTGCCACTTTGTAGCTATGTGACTTTGGACAAGTGACTCACCCTCTCTGGGCCTCAGTTTCCAGCTATGGGAAGAACATAGCAGGCAGAAGGAACATCAAGTGTAAAGGCCCTGAGCTAAGAATGAACTTGGTGGAGAGCAGAGGTCAGGTACCAGGGCAGGGGAGAGGGTGGGGGCTGGGCTATGCCAGGGAGTGGGCTTTCAAGGGGTGATGGGAGCCAGGGGACTTGAGAGCAGGAGAATGATGGGTTTGGATTCTCACTTTGAGAAGCAGCTTCTAGTTGTGGGCTGTCAGGGTTCAGGGAGCTGGCAGGTGATGGTAGAGGCTTGGGCTGGGCTGGAGAGTGTGGGGTTTGCAAGAACTGAGGGGATGGACCTATGTTGGGGAGTGTGGTATGTCACCCTGTCTGTATCACATGAAGTGATGGGGCAGACCCAGAAATCCTGCTGGTCTGGCCCTTCAGGAAGGACATCTGAGCTGGACAGCTGGACCAAACCTTTCTTGAACTCTACCCAGCTGAATGCAGCCTCCCTGAGGAAGGAGAAGGGGAAGCTGCAGGGGTGGGGCTGGTGTGCTGGGCCCCTGGGAGGCACAGGGGGGGCAGGTGCTACCTCACAGGAAGGGAGGAGCTGGGTGGGGTCACCTGGCCGGGGCATGGGAGCCAGATGACTTCACAGGTCTCAGCATGGCCAGGAAACTAGACCCGAGTGAGGCGGGTGACCGAGGCACTGCTGCCCCGGGATGCGTGTCCACTGAGCAGCTACAGGGGGTGTGTGTGCACGCACGCACACAGGGGCTTGGCTTGAGGTAGACCTGGCACACTGTTTCCCTTCTAAACAACGGTTTGGGGGGTGACATAGCAGGAGGGCCCAGAGCTGGGGTGTGCAAATGGGGAAATGAAGGCCAGAGGGGCAGAGAGTGTGGAGGCCTCGGGTGGCTCTGGGTCCTGAGTCAAGGCTGGGGGTGGGCGGGGTCCAAAGCATGGTCTGTAATTTCAGTGCCTGTGAAGATAAGGGGGTCGGGGCAGATGGCAGGGGGAGGGGGAGAGAGTAGAACAGGTTGGGGGGTCTGGCTCCCACTGCCAGGCCCTCCCATATGAGATGAGGCTTCCCGTCAGTCAGTCCCTCCCAGAGTGGCCCTGTGGTTTATCAGGGGTTTGAGGCAGATGGTCTGGAAGCCCCCCACTCAGGCTGAGGACCCTCCACCCCCTGGAAGCTCGAGGTTACCGTGAGGAGGAGGAGATGTTCAGGGCATCATTCATCTGACTATTTCACTCTGCACCTACTGTGTGCAGCTTCCAGAGATGGGAGACCTGGAAAGGAGGGGGCAGGTTCTGAAAGCTCCTCCCCCCTCCACCCTAGGTAGGGAGCGAGATGCAGGGGATCAAGGGGAGGGGCAGGGATAACCTATTTTCCAGGTCCTGTGCCCTCTCTGAAGTCCCCAGATTCTCAACAACATGAAGTCCTGTCCCTTTAAGAGCATTTGGCAACATGGGCATTTATCTAACTCCTACTGCATACCAGCTTAAGGCTAATACTGCACTGGGTGGGCTCTCAGAAAACATGGATGGGGGACTTCCCTGGCAGCCCATTAGTTCGGACTCTGTGCTGTCACTGCCAGGGCCGGCTTCAATTCTTGGCTGGGGAACTAAGATCCTGCAAACCTCATGGTGCAGCAAAAATAAAAAATGAAAGAAACAAGCAAAACATGGGTGAGATGAGGAAAGAGTCTGGGGTTGGATTTAAGCTTTGCTCCTTTTTTGCTGTGTGTTCTTAGGAGGCTCACAGCTCTCTCTGAGCTGTTGGGGTCCTGGGAGACTCCAGGGGCAGCCAGTGTGGGAGACACCAGAAATCCCAGAACAGCATCGAGGACTTAGCAGCCAAGGGGTGGGGGGTGGAGCTGGAGGGTCCCTCTTCCTCCAAGTGTCCCTCCCAGAGTTGGAGAAGGCTGAGGAAGGGGCTCTCTTGGTCAGTCTCTCAGTCTGGAAGAGACCCTCTACTCCAAGCTTCTATTCCCAGGGAACTCCTATGCATCCTTCAGAGCCCAGCTTCAATGCCCTCCCCTTTCCAAGCCCTCCCTAGGTGTCTGAACTGGGCCTCACCTGTCCTGTCCCTTGTCCCTGCCCTGAGGAGTGGCAGGAGGGTTTGTGGGAGAATTAATGCAGAAATAAGCTTGCATGGGGATGAGGGGTGTGTGGAACAATCTCATTTGGCAGAAGGGAACTCGAGTTCACCTGGCAGGAAGACAGGGTGGGAATTCGAACTGGATCTGCTGAAAGCAATGTTGGGGGTCAACCCCCGACTTGATCTTTTCTATCCTCCCAGGGTCCTGGCGGCAGAGACCCCATCCCAGCAGGAGCGGCTGCAGGCCATTGCAGTGAGTTATTCCAGGTCCCAAGGATGGGGTGGGCATGGGGGGGAGATTGAGGAGGGACCCAGGGTCTCAGATGCTCCCCACACCCAGCTTGGGGCTCAGGGACTCAGATCCCAGGTGCAGTGTGGGACACTTCAGTGCTTGCTATCATCTCCCCACAAAATTAAAACGTTGAGCGCCCCTTAGCCTTCAACATGTGGACTCCGGCCGAGAAGCTTCTCAGAGCCCCTGGGCAACTCCCCTGCAGTGGGCGGGGGGAGGGGGGGCGGGGGGCGGCAAGGCTGACGTGTGGAAGGAACTTGCCCTTGTGGCAAGGCTGGGGGAAGTGGGGGGGAGGCTGGTAGTCCTTTCTGGTGAAGGGACAAGGTGGAGGAGGGTGGGGGGACAGGCTGGGTGCAGGTGGGGGTGCAGTGGGCCAAGTGGGTGCTGTTCACAGAACAAGCGGGACCCGTGTGGGTAAAATCTGGGTAGCTGTGGGCTCTCCGCGGCCCCAGCCTGCCCTTACCATGTGCGGGGTCTGCAGGAGAAGCGGCGGAGGCAGGCAGAGATTGAGAACAGGCGCAGGCAGCTGGAGGACGACCGGAGGCAGCTGCAGCACCTGAAGGTCAGGGCAGAGCCTCGGCTGGGGGTGGGGGGGCTGGGGATGGGGGGGTGGAAGGGGGGTAGCATCCAGGGACCCCTGCCTTGGCCGGATCTGGGACTTAGGGGCAGGGAGCAGGAGGGCTAAGACGATCCCCACCCTGATTCCAGTCCCAACTCAGACCCTCACCTGACCCCGACCCCAGACCTGACCCCAACTTTGACCTTGGTGCCCACTGCCCCAGTCCAAGGCACTGCGGGAACGCTGGCTGCTGGAGGGGACGCCGTCTTCGGCCTCGGAGGGGGATGAGGACATGAGGAGACAGATGCAGGAGGACGAGCAGAAGGCACGGCACCTGGAGGAGTCCATCTCCAGGTGGGGGGCCGCAAGCCTCAGGGCTGGGGTGTGACTGGGGGTGGGTGCTGCCCACCTGACCCCTCCTCCCCCCAACCCTGCAGCCACGCAGGGGTGAGGGGTGAGCGGTCTGGGCCATGGAGGTTTCTGAAGACAGGTCTCTGAGGATGGAGATGCAGTCTTCCCTGGGGCTTCCTGGCGCCAGCCCAGCTGGTCTTTCCAGCACTCCTGGAGCCTCGGAGGCAGGAGGCAGGAGGCACCGCAGCTGGCCTGCAGGAAGCTGGGGGAGGGGGCAGGCCAGGGAAAGTGACCATCCCCCTGGCCTGGGACAAAAGCACTGAGGAGTTTCCGAGCAGGCGGGCAGCCGGGCAGGAGGCCCAGGCTCAGTTCCCAGGGCAGCAGGGTCAGGCGGAGGGAAGTGACAGCCAAAATTCCAATGTCCACTGGCCAGGGGAGGCCTGAAAGGCATGTGCTGGCTGTGGCACCCTGGCCTGCAGCCCCGTGGGGACCTCAGGATCCTGTGTGGGTGCATTTGGTTTAGAAGAAAGTGGGGGCAGCTTGGCTAGGGTCCCCTCCCCAGGCCTCAGTTCCCCAACCTGGGAGCATGTGCCCAGAGGAGGTGGGGCTGAGATGTGGCCTGGAGGGCCACTCAAGACTGAGCAGGCCGAGAGGCGCTTGCAGGTGGGAAGGATGGTCAGTGGGAATTACCAGTCCTTAGGGGTTGGATGGGGTGGGCTTTTGCTCAATATATCCTGCTGGGTGCAGCCCTGGGTAGGGGGTGGCGAGGGGGTCATCCCTTGAGCCCCACTGTGTGGCTGGCTTTTGGGGGGCCTTGGCTTTCTTCCCCTCAGGGCTACATGCTTCTCGGGTGGTTCCATCACCTGCATTTTGCCCGATCAGTGTCTCCACCTGGACACCTCCTCCGGGAAGACCTCCAGGCTGACCCCAGCTGTGTCCAGTCTGCTGAGCTGGGCTCACTTTGTTAGGGGGCTGTAGACTACCCACCTCCCCAGTCTGTACTGAGTCTTCAGGGAAAACATCTCCTATCTCCTGGGTCCTGAGTGCCTGCACCCCAAAGGCATAGGCAGGTGATGCCTGGGGCAGGATTGAATATGCCAGCTTTTATTTATGAGCACCATTATCTCCTAAAACTTGGAAAGTGACATGGTTTTTCCAGTTTCCCTGGAGAGATAAAGCTTCCTGTAAAAATAAATGTATTTGAGTGGAAAAAGATGAGTGTGTTGGAAGCGAACAGAGGAGTAAACAGTGACTCGGGCGGCACAGGGGTCCGGGGACCGGCCGGCCTGGGTTTGGGTCTCGGCTCTGCCGCTTACTTACCTCCATTTCCCTGCCGGGAGCGCGAAGGAGACCACCTCGCAGGGTCGTTAGGAAACAGGCGAGTCAAGAAAGCCCTCCTGGACGCGCCTGGCGGTGCCGGGCTCCAGAAGTGTCCGGCAGGGTGGTCACCTCGTGCACACTCCCCAGGCTGGAGCAGGAGATCGAGGAGCTGGAGAACACGGATGTGCTGCCCACCGCCGCCGCCAGGGGGAGCGTGGCTACTCCAAGCCCCGCCCTGCGCCCCGCCCCGGAAGACCAGAGAGCCGAGGCCATGCCCAACGCTCAGCAGGTAAGAGGTACCCGGGGCGCCACCCTGCTGGCCCAGGTCCAGAAGCACCCACCGCCTCCGGGGCTGTGGTTGGGGGCGCCCCACATCCCAAATGCGTGCACATCCACATCCCAGCCCGGCCACATCCCAGCTGCGTCGCCTGCACCGCCGGGGCCTCAGTTTCCCCGCCAGACAGGGGCGTCACGGCTGTTTAGTGAATCAGTGAAAAACGAGCGCTTCATGGGTAGAGGGTCTTCCCCAAAGACCACCTGCTTGTCATCCTTCCTAGGTTCACCAGCACAATGGGCATCACCTGTCTATTTGCATGCAGCCCTTTCAGGTGGAGCCGCATCCCCATTTGATGAAAAAGACTGCGGCCCAGAGAGGTTGAGAGACTGGCTCAAGGCCACACAGCGGAGTAGTCTTTACTAGGCTCAGCTGTTAATTCTAGGCTGTGATGTGTATGCCAGGCTCAGGTGAAACCAGACCCTAAGCTCATGGTGACCGCAGCATGTTAACACAAATTCAGGAGTCTCCCGACCACCCTTGTTGTCTTTAGGATTCAAAGGGCCTGTGGGGCACGCCTCCTCTCCCCTGACCTATCCTTGTTTCCCCCACCCCAGTGAGCTGCAGCCCAGGGAACATCCCTGCTGTGTGTCCTGCTGCTCCTATGATAGTTTCAGTCTGGAGCCGACACACCCGTCCTCACTACTTGCCAAGGCTTGGTTGGGGCAGAACCGGAGGATGTAGACCCAGACCTTGGCCTTCTTGAGCTGTTTTTAAGTGGGCAGATGTGTATGTATCAATCAGCTGCAAACACAGGAAGGTGTAAGGACCTATCGTGGGGAAGCTTAGGGCACTGTGGAGTCTCCAGTGAGGTGTCTGTTTCATGGGCGGGCTGTGCAGGCTTCCTGGAGATGGGTTTTGACGACTGAGTTACGAGTTCTCCAGGCCCGGATTCAAGTTGAGGGTGGCTTTCAGTGAGGTTGATTGAGCACAGGCTGAATGCTGGCATGGCCTCTCCCCTCATGATACCTGCCTCCTGGCCCATCTTCTGATCGGGTAAATGACATGGTAACCTGAGGGATAACCCTGGATGGGGACAGGGAGACACCTTTAGGTCGGGTGGTCATGGGGGCTGAGCAAGCAGCCAGCCAAGCGGAAATCCGGGAAGGGCCTTCCAAGTGGAGGGACGTGGCTCACGGAAGAGCCAGGAGGCCAGGGAAGCCGGCCAGGGGTGGGAAGAGGCGGAAGAGGCCCCGGGGGTCATCAGGAAGGGTTGGACTTTGTTCTGGCAGCATTGCGAGCCCCAGGAAGCTTCTGAGCAGGCAGGAGCGTTTCTGGCTGTCACAGGCTAGGGCGGGGTGGGGGATGGGTCCAGAAGTAGACGGCCCCCTCCGATGGGGTCGCTGCTGAACCACGCCCCCCTCAGGCTTGGGCCTCGGCCGGTGGGATCTTGTGCGGCGGAAGGGGGCGCCAACACCCCTGACCCCTCCCCTTTCTTTCTTGCAGACCCCGGTGGGCACGCCCAAAGGTACGTTTTAGGGAAGGGGCGGGCAGGGCCCCGGCGCCCTCTAGTGGCCAGACAGGAGATGGCCGACAGGGGAAGGGTGCCTTTAAGGTGGTGGTGGTTAGTCGTGTGCGACTCTTGCGGCCTCATGGACTGTAGCCTGCCAGGCTCCTCTGTCCATGGGATTTTCCAGGCAAGAATACTGGAATGAGTTGCCATTTCCTTCTCCAGGGCATCTTCCCGATCCAGGAATTGAATCCACGTCTCCTGCATTGGCAGACGGGTTCTTTCCAGGGAAGCCCCTTTAAGGTGTTATTGTTGCTAAAAAGGGATAATAAAATAGCTTAGTGGCTCTCAGTGTCATTGCCCTCAGCGAACCCAGACTCTGAGCTGGGCCCAGGGCCCCTCAACATCATTTCATCGAATTTTCACAAGCTCCCTGGGTGGACTGAAGCAGCACCTGCATTACGGACGAGGAAGCAGGGTTCACAGGGGCATTTCTGCCTGAGGTCTTAGCCCCATCGTGGGTTCATACTGTCCACCTGGAGTGCCTGGCCTTAGCCGGCCCAGCCCTGGTTCCATGCCCACTTGCTCTGGGATCCAGGGCAGGTGGGGGCCTCAGTTTTCCCATCTGTGAATTGGGGTCAGTGAGGATGAGAAATCAAGATCCTGGCCGTCCTGGAGATTGTGTACCACTCAAAAGGACAAAGAGGAGTTCCCCTGGTGGTCCAGTGGTTAGAACTTGGTGCTTTTGCTGCTGGAGCCCAGGTTCAGTCCCTGGTCAGGGAACTAAGATCCTGCAAAGCATGTGGCACGGCCATAAAAAAAATAAAAGGACAAGGGTCCCCCACACACAGAGATGTGGAAGACTGACATCCAGGAAACAAAGAAAAAAGCCCAGAGTTTGAATTCTGGGAGAGATTTTAGCCCCCACTTACAAATTTATTACAGGTATGTGATGTACACATTTACAAATACTTCACATGTACACATGACACTTCAATATGTACCATTAGCTATAATGGTTTATTAGCTATGGTAAAATTTCCTTAACACAAAGTTATATTTTAAAATATATATTCAGCATGTCTATTTCTGTGTGTAGAGCCTGGAAGGAGCGCCACCAGCCAGGACTGGAGGTATGGTCAGAAGTGTCTCTGGCCTGAAAAAAAAAGTATCTCTGGCCTGATTTGTCAGGAGTTAATTATTCATGAGGAGAGTCTGTCTCCTCATCTTACTGTGGAATTAATAATTTAAAAAAAAATCCATGCAGGCCACTCAGGGATTTTGTGAAAATCATTTGGACCCCAAGAGATGGGTCATAGACTATGGGACTGCAGTGTGTTTTCTTTTTGCGGGGAGTGATTCACGTGTGTCTGGGTGTTCAGGGCATGCACACGTATATGGAGGGGTCCAGGTGCATGCATGCATTAGGGAGAGGGTCCAGGTGTGTGGGTGAGTGTGTGGGAGGGTGGTCTAAGTGTCCGGGTGGTGTCCAGGTGCCTGGAGGGTGTCCATGTGTCTGGGTGAAGTCCCACATCTTGGGGGGGGGGCCTATGTGATCTCCCCTCTGAATCCATCTCTCTTCACTCTTTGCTCCCCCCCCCCCACCATCGTGAGCAGAGAAGCAAATCTCCAACACCCCTCTGAGGACAGTCGACGGCTCCACCATGATGAAGGCAGGTGGGTTGGCCCCAGGTTGGGATCCATGTCCAGCTGCTGTCCTGGGCTGAGTGTTGGCCCTGGGGGGGCCGGGTTGGGGGGCCAGGCCCGGTGCAGATGCAACCGTCAGCATCACCGGGTGTGGTCTGTGGTTTTAGTGGGGAGTGGCTGGACCAAGGCCACAGCTCTGAGCCTGGGTGGGGCTGGGTGCCCCCTCCGCTTTGGCACGCCCGTCACAAGCCAGCCCAGCTTCCCCGAGAAGACGGGCCCCCTAGCATGGCGGCTCTAACCTGATGCCCCCTCCCGGCTTCTATCTCCCTAACATTGTCACTTGCTCTGGGTCCTGGCGGGGGTGGGCACAGGCTCACACGCTCGCTGCAAACTTTCCCTCCTTCACTGTCTTTGGGGGGAGGGAGGGAGCACCCCATTCCTGGAGGTAACCAAGCAGGGCAGAATTGGGATTAGTGCTCAGTGCTCAATAAGGTTGGGTTCAAATCCCTGCTTGATCACTTGACGGCTGGAACCTGGTGGTGGTGAGGATTGTAGTGACCTTGTGCCCAGAGTCTGGCACAAATCTAATCCTGAGAGTGACTGAAGTCATGACAAATAGCAGAACCTTGTGGCTGCTGATATTAGAGTAAGTTTGGAGGCACAAAACCAGAGATGGGAGTGAAGACCAGGATGTAATGACACTCAGGGGAAGGAGAGGGTAGCAGGGGAAGCCTAGAGAAGGAGGGGGCACCCTCAGGGCCTCAGTGTCAGAGAAGTGGGCAGAAAGCCACAAAGCTGCATGCCCTCAGCTGGTGACCTTGAGCAGTGCGCAACCTGCCCAACTGTATGTCTGATGGTGGGGTGTTAGGCTGCATAGGGATGTGGTGATACCTAGCCTTCTTCATTCATTCATTCAGTCTCGAAGTGCTAGCTGAGAACCTGCCATGAGCCTGGCAAGAGGGTCGCAGCCCAGACACTGCAGATGTTCTGATGCGGGTCAAGGCAGAACATAGGGGGCTGGAGAGTGGCACAATTTGAATCACAGGGCTTGGGGAGGTCTATCTTAGGAGGTGACATCTGAGCAAGGATAAAGGAAGTGAGGTAGCAAAGCATGGAGAAGGAGGGGCACTGCCAGTGCAAAGGTCAAGTCTGGACCACGTCTGAACTGTGGGCACCGGTGGGTGGCAGGGGCCGCGTGCTGGTCGGGGTGGAATGAGTGAGGGGGAGGGGCAGAAGGTGAGGGCGAGGAAGGGACGGGGCTGCCCATGCCGGGTGTGGGGGTGCAGAGAGCTGGAGGTGGATAGAGCTGGGGCGTGCCTGCTCGCAACTCACAGGCACCCTCTGGCGGCTCTAGGGAGAACAGGTTGTGGGCGGAGCCGATTGCGGGGGGCGGGGGGGTGGTCCCCGGAGGGTTGATGATGGGGGTATAGGGGGTGCGGGGGAGGTGAGAGGAAATGGTGGAGGATGGGGGTATTGTGGGGATGGGGATGATGAGAGATGAAGGAAAGGGATGAAGGGGGAATGGTGGGGCATGGTAAGGGATGCTGTAGGGGACTCACGAGATGAGGGTCGGGCTGCGGGATGGTGTGAGGATGGGGTGAAGGGGGTTGAGGGATAGTGGGGGTGGATGCAACTCCCCCCAGCAGGGGCTGTGGAGGACGAGCAGTGGGTGGGTTCTGGGAGTCTTGAAGGCGGCACCCTGGAATTTGCAGATGGACAGATTGGGGCGTGGGGGAAATAGCAGAGTCGATTAGAGAGGAGGGAGAACAAAGGTGTCCGTGTGAGAAATGAGAAGACCCAGGAGGGGCAGGTCGGGGCGGGGTCTTGGGCGTGGTGATGTGGGGCCCTCCGTGGAGGGAGGAGGGCTGGGGGCCTGGGGGGCCTCACTGCCAGGAGGCGTCTCCTCTGCGTGTGGTGTTTGTGACAACCTGTTTGCAGAACAGGGGCAGATGCTGGCCGTTGAATGTAATCTTCAGGGGTCGTAGCTCCATACACTTCCGGGCACCATCCCCTCTCCACGCTGAAGCGATGAGTCAGTAGTGGCCTTACAAGAGCAGTGCAGAGGACGAGCGTCCAGGACGCTGTGGGGCACAGGCTTGCTCACTTGCGTTTGAATCCCTTCTAGATTGGGCCAGGTACGCCCCCACCTGCCTGGAACTGATCCAGGCTTTGCAGTCAAGGCCGGTGGCCGGAGTGGCCCAGGAATTCAGACCCCACGCGCGTGGGCGCTGGGGAGCCAGGGAGGGATGCTGAGCTGGGAGGAGGGCTGCGTCGAGGGCACCTGCTGCTTGGCTCTGCGCTGCCGCCTCCCCTCCCTGGCTTGGCTGCAGCCCGGCGTGGGGCACATGGGCAGGTGGGCGGCGGCTTGACCCGTGCCTCTCGTGCCAGCCATGTACTCGGTGGAGATCACGGTGGAGAAGGACAAGGTGACGGGGGAGACCCGGGTGCTGTCCAGCACCACCGTGCTCCCCCGGGAGCTCCTCCCTCAGGGCATCAAGGTCTACGAGGACGAGACCAAAGGTACGCGCCCCTCCCCCGCCCCGCCAGTGCCCCGTGGCCAGCCCTCCCTCCATCCCGGAACCTGTCTGGAGGCGTGGCCAGCGCCAGGATGGGCTGGGGAGCCGACCTCTGAGGTCTGCTCCATCCTGGGTGCTCTGGCGCCAGCGGGCTGAGCTCTCCAACCCCCACCTCACAGATGTTCAGTCGCTCAGTTGTGTCGGACTCTGCGAACCCATGGACTGCAGCATGCCCGGCTTCCCTGTCCTTCACCATCTCCTGGAGTTTGCTCAAATTCTGCTCAGATATCCTCGCAGATAATTCATTTAAATAATTACTGTTGTGATAAAGGCTACAGACGCCCCCCCATAGAGATTGAGAGGGGGCCAGAGGAAGGTCCAGCAGGGTGGGGAGGGACAGAGAAGGTAAGCACAGAGGGTATCTGGTGTGCTCATAGCCCGTGCAAAGGCCCTGGGGTGGGATTTGGTTCACAGCCTGGGGGTTGTGGAGGAGCCTGTGGAGCTAATGCAGAGTGAGGGGGTGGGGGATGGGGAGCCTTGGCAGGGGTGGCGGTGGAGGGGGGGTGTTGGAGAGGCTGTGGAGCTGAGACCTGGTTTAGTTTTTAGGGTGCTCTCTGGGAGCTGGGAAGGGAGCAGCTGGAAATGGGAGGGGAGGGCAGCCTTGGGCAAAAGCTCCAAAGTCCCTTCCCCCCACCCCCATATAATTCACAGAATGTAAAATCCACTTTCTTTTTAAAAAATCTAAGGGAAACTTTCCTTTAAACTGTGAGATCCATCAGTATTTAGACAACTGTCTTATAATGGTCTTGGCATTTAAACTTTTGTTCATTTTTGGCATGTCCTGCCTGGGGAGAGGAAGTTTGGGGCAACATTTGCTGTGATACCAGAAAAAGAAGAAAACATACTTTCCTAAAGACACCTTTTTAAGAAACCTTTAAGGGACTTCCCTGGTGGCTCAGTGGTTAGGACTCTGTGCTTTTAGTGCGGAGGGCCTGCATTCAATCCCTGGTTGGGGAACTAAGATCCCCAGGTGCTGAGGGTGGGGTGAGTCAAGTCGGATATCCCCAGGTACCCAGGTGCTCCCCACAAGCCGTGGGCAGCAAAAGAAAAAAAATTAACGGTACATTTGGAGTCAAGGTAAGCATTTGCTTTCTTCAGGATCTGAGGTCCCCAGAGCTGATCCCTTGAGTTAGGCATAAAATTAGCACAGCTCAGCCCCAGGGTCCATTAGCGTGTCCAGTAAATGCTGCCCTCAGGAGAAGATGGAATTTGGAGACAGAGATTCAGGACACACATAAATTCCATGCACAACCCAGTGAGAACTCCGTGTTGTATGCCCTCAGTACCTGATTCTAGAACATTCTGTTCCTCAAATAGAAACTCCATCCCTCCCCACCCCACCATAGCAACCACGAACCCACTCTCTCAGTGGACTGGCCTGTTCTGGACGTTTCCCATCAATGGAATGATATATGGTGTGATCTTTTGTGTCTGGCTTCTCTCACTGAGCATCATGTTTTCAAGGTTCATCCATGTTTATATTTTATGGCTGAGTAATAGTTCAGAGTATGGATGGACCACGTTTTGTTTATCTAGTCATCAGTTCATGGACGTTTGGGATGTTTCTACCCTTTGGTTTTATGCTATACAAGGTTTTGTGTGGGTGTATGTTTTCATTTCTCTTGGGTAATACCTAGGCGTGGAATTGCTAGATCATGTGGGAATTCTGTTTAACTATTTGAAGAACTGCTGAGGTGTTTTTCACAGTGGCATTACCATTTTATTTTTCCACCAGCAGTGCATTAGGGTTCCAGTTTCTCCACATCCTCAACAACCCTTATTATCGACCATTTTAAATTATAATTGCCATCCTAAGTGGGTGTGATGTGGTATCTCATTGTAGTTTTAATTCCCAAAGCCTCCTATTCTTAGAGGTTCAGGCCTCTGGGACATCCAGGATGTTATTAAAGGAGTCCTATCACAACCCAGCTCTGCTGTACTTGGGAATCTTTGACCCAAGTGGAATCCTGGCTCCAGTTCTCACCAGCTGTTCTAGGCATGTCCCAGCTGCTCTATTTCCTGGACACAGGATGGCCACACAAGGCCAAGGGGCAGAGATGTCTGTGCTCATGGAAGGTCCTTACCTTGGCCACGGGGCCCAGCCTGGCCCCGCCCCTGGGGACTCAAGACCCGCCAGACTGGACTCTGGTTGCTTAGCAATGGGAAGATGATCCATTTCCATGGCAGCCAAGGGCTCAGGTTCCTACCTTAGAGCAGTGGCCAGTGGGAAATACCTAGCTTGGTTCTGCATGGCCTGGATACACCCCACCCTCTGGGCCTCCAGCCCAGAGTCATTGCAAGGCCTTGAATCATGGATGCCCCTCCCCAGGAGTTTGGAAACCGAGAGTGGAAAGCACTTTCCTTCTGGCCAGAAGCCAGATACTGGCCAACCCTGACCCTTGGCCACACAGGAGGCGAGTTCCTAGGGCACTCAGTGTGCCCCCTCCCTCCACCCTAAGCAGCTGGGTAGCTGTGTTTCTAGAAGGGCTGTGATCCAGGGCTGGTGTCAGACCACAGCGGGGACTCCTCCCAGGTGCTGACATCCGGTCTTAGAGACTGTGACACAGGTTAGAAACTGACCCGTCAGAAAGACACGAATTATTAAAGCTGGAAAGATCTGGAAAATATGCTTAACAAGCTTGATTGTGCATATAAAACGATGCCCAATGAAAGATGCACATTCTTGTCAAACACAGGTGGAGCATTTTAGAAAGTGACTATGTCTTGTCACAGTGTTATATCATACATGCTGTGTTCCTGGACCACAGTTCCCCTCTTTCCCAGGTTTGAAAACACTCTTCTGAATAAATCTTGGCTTAAAGAGACAGTGAATCAAAATGGAAGTAACAAGACATTTACACTTGAAACAGAATGACCTAATGTAATCCATGAGCTGCAGCCAAAACACAACTCAGAGGAAAATGTATAGCCTTCAAGGACATTGATGAGAAAACAAGAAACATGGGTGAATGGACTAAATTTTTGTTTAAGACCATCCACATGAAATCAGACTTCCTGCAAATCCTCATGAAGGGAAATACACCTAGAATGGGAGAAAGAGCAGGGTCAGCCCCAGCCAGCTGTGTGATCTTGGACCAGTTACTTGTTACTTACCTTCTTTGAACTCCATTTTTACCATCTTTGCAATGGAAAAAATAATAGACCTACTTTGAAAAGTGATGGCCTGGGAGCAAGTTGGCTGGGAAATATGGAAATGCTTCAAACTGCAGGGCAATAAAATCCAAATTCATTTATTCTTTCTTGTTTTCTAACACATGCTCTTGTGTCTACACATTTTCTTCTGTGTGCCAACTTGGCCTTGCACACTGATCCCAATTGGGACTTTACTTGTCAGTCAGTTCTAAAGGTGTAATTTAGTTTATGATTCCCCTTTAGCCTAGAGGTGGCTCTCAACCTTGCCAGGCCCTCCCTCCGGTCTGGGAACCAGCTCACACTCTCTCTCTCCCCCCTTGCCAGTGGTCCACGCCATGGACGGCACGGCAGAGAATGGGATTCACCCGCTGAGTTCCTCAGAGGTGGACGAACTCATCCACAAGGCGGACGAGGTCACGCTGAGCGAGGCGGGGTCAGTGGTTGGGGCAGTGGAAACCCGGGGGCCATCAGAAGAAGCTGTCCGGACCACACCCTCCAGGCGGGAGATCACTGGTGTTCAGGCCCAGCCTGGGGAGGCCACCTCAGGCCCGCCCGGCATCCAGCCCGGCCAGGAGCCCCCGGTCACCATGATCTTCATGGGCTACCAGAATGTGGAGGATGAAGCCGAGACCCAGAAGGTGCTGGGTTTGCAGGACACCATCACGGCAGAGCTGGTGGTCATTGAGGATGCAGCTGAGCCCAAGGAGCCTGCCCCGCCCAACGGCAGTGCAGCTGAGCCCCCCGCCACTGAGGGCTCCAGGGAAGAGAACCAGGTGGGGCCTGAGGCCCCCGCCGCCGAGCCCCAGGACCTCGACATGAAGAAGCAGCGCTGTAAATGCTGCTCCATCATGTGACCCGCCCGGCTCCCCCAGACCCTGGCCCTGCCCTCTGTACCAGACACCCACAGCCCGGCCCTCCCGGCGCCTGCCCACCCTCCACCCGCAGTCACGGGCCCTGGACCTGCCGTGTCGTCACGTGTTCCTTCTGAGTTTTCTTTCACTGGAAAGAGAGGGACAGGGGTCCCCCATCCCATCACCACCCCCCACACACCCTTAACCACTGAGCCGTGCACCCACACCTGGTAGGAGAGACACGGACACACCCGCTTCTCCCCAAACGAGGACCCCCCATGTCGCGGCAGCTCCTGGCCGGTGTGACCCAGGGCCTCAACGCGGCCCCACGCCAGCCCACCTCCCTCTGGGCCTCCTGCCTGTGCCTTCCTGCCCCCTCCAATGAGGTCCCTGAGGGGACAACCCCCCAGGAGAGGGGTCCTGGGAGCCTGCCCTGTCCCCGCTCAGCCTCTGTGGCAGGGTTCCCAGGCCAAGGCGCCTGGTCAGGATCTCAGGCAACTGAGGTGAGGCTGTGCCTCTCCAGGGAGCCCCGGCTCGAGGTCTTGGAATGAACATGAGCCCCTCTGGACACCCCCAGCCAATGCGCCCCTCCCCTCAGTGCTCTCTGAGCACAGCCAGTGGGCGATGGAACATGGGAAGGGGGTGCCCTGGGGCCACGCCCCCGCACTCAGGCAGGGTGTGACCCCTGTGCTGTCTTCTGGCCGGGCTGGGCCAGGGGTCTTCGAGATGCATCCCACACAAGGCAGGGCCATGCAAGCCCCATCCTGAGCTCCCACTCCCACTGGGCCCCCCATCCTCCTGGTGCTAATTTGGGGACCCTAGGGGACTGCCCCTGGCCCCTTCTCCAGCCTGCTTGGACCAGGGTCCTGGGTCTCCCCTACCATACCACAGAGATTGGGCCCACCGCCAGCTCTGCTGGGCTTGGCGCATTTCGGGCAGTGGAGGAGGGCACCCCGCTCACCTGGGACAGGGAGCTTCCCCTGGATTGCAGCTGGAGGCCTCCATTTGCTGCCCAGCCTGATGTGCACCTGCCTCCCCCTCACTGGAAGGGGTGAGAGGCAGGGGGCTCCCCTCCTGGGGGTAGCTGACACCAAGATGTACAGACACATCTCCTTGGTTGCAGCCACACTCGTCCCCAGAGGCACATTTGTGCACATGCTCACAGGCCCTCTCATGTGTGGGCTGCGGATGACCAGGCCCCATCTTGGCCCCTCCCCTAGGGGCCTGCAGCCTGGTGCCCAGGGCCCAGGCCCCTCCCCACCTCAGCAGGGTGGGTGCAGGGCCCACTCTGGATGGCAGCCTGGGTCCCCGTCTCAGCTCTGCCCCTGGGTGGCTGGGATGAGAGGTCCTCTCTGAGGTGACCTGAGCAGTGGCCGTGGGACCCCCCCCTTCCTCCTCAAGTTCACCTGAGTCCTCGAGCCGTGAGCCTCCGCTAAAGTGCCCTTGCTGCCCCCCTATGCTTTCGATGTGTGACAAGGCCCCATGTTCTTGACTTTCCCAGAGAAGCAAATAAACAGTGTGAACAGCCCTGGGGCTGGAATTCTTGAGTTTCACCTGGGCGGGGAGGGTGCGGCCAGGCCAGGGGTTGGGGCCCTGCCCAGGCAAGGCGGTCCAGCCTTAAAAGGAGCCTGGTAGAGCCCAGGGGAACTGGTGTCTCCCATCTGTGGCTCTGCACCCCTCAGACTCACACCAGTGCGGTGGGTAGGGGTGTTGGTGGAGTCCCCACCTGCACCTGTGTGGCACCTGGGCAGGTAAGGCCTGGAGGTAAGGGGGCTGCTTCCGGTGGCGCGACTTGGCTTCTGTTTCCTGAGGGCCCTCAGGTTCCACATCTGCCCACCCCACCTTGGTTGTGAGGCCGCCCCTTGCTGGGCTCATAGTCCCCCGGGGGACAGACACCCTCAAGCTTGGCAGAGAAGCTGGCTCCTGGCAAACAGGTGGGGACATGAGGCAGAAACTGCCGGCCCTGCTTCTCTCACTACATAATCTGGGTAGGAGTGGTGGCCACCCCTTCTGGGCTTTGGCTTGCCCACCTGTACGGCAGCTGTGTGAGCCCTGCACGGAAGGTCGCCCCAGTCTGGGATCAGGAGTGCCCCAGCATGTGGGGTGACCCAGTCTCCACCCTTCCGCCACACTGTGAGCAGCCCTGCCAGATTTGGAGCTAGGGGCACATCAGATGGAAGAAGAGACAGGTTCTTCCTCAGAGGGGCTCCACAGCTGGCCAAGGGGCAGGGCAGGACAAAGATTTCCATCCCCCCCCACCGCCAGGAACGGAAGCCCAGCCCACTGTGTACCCTTCCCTGTGGACCAACCACAGTACCCGGTGAGCTGATTCTCCCGCAGGCTCAGGGCCCCTGTGGCGCTAGCAGGTCCTCTGCACCTCGGCCAAGAATCAGACACCACAGCTGTGTGCTGGGAACACCTGCTTCCACCTCGAGCCTCAGTGGGCCCGGGCGCCAACCATCCCAATGCTTTCTGGCACCTTTATGTCCTCATTTGGCCCTTTATTGGAAGTGGGTTGGGGGGCGTTCCCCCCATCCTGTGATGTACCCCGCTTCCTGAAGGAGGAAATGGGCTCAGAGTGGTTAAGTGGGATTTGAATTTAAGCCCAGCTGAATCCCCAGAGACTAGGATGCTGGGCTGGTCCCCGTAAGGGTCTCTCGGGGAAAATGGCCCTAGGGGGTGGGCTGAGCCAGGCGGCTGGGTGGGGGTTTGGACTTGGACCCGCCTCTGAGGAACAGCAGCTGGCTCATGGACCAGCCCTGTGACCCCAGGAGACAGATGGCCCCTCTCTGAGCGATGCTGGGAGGCAGTGGGGAGGCCCAGAGAGTTTAGAGGTGAATTCTGGCTCGGGCTTTGTGGGCGGGGGCCCTGGCTGCCAAGGGGCAGTGCAGCGTGGCACGGCTGCCTCTGCAGCGGTGTCGTCTTTCTCTTCCTTCTCTGAACTTTGTTTCTCGAGCCCAGGTGGGGCCTGGGAGGGGGGAGTGCACCTTCTTCCTGGGGTGGGGCCCTGTCCCCTGGCAACCTGGGCCAGGGCGGGGCTGGGAGGCCTCTGTGCCAGCCAGGGAGCCAGAGCCAGGCTTGGAGCCTGTGGGGCTGAGAGCACGGGTAAGGCTGGGGCAAAGGAGGGTGGGATGGACACTAAAGTGGGGGGTGGGGGGTGGGGGTCCTGCTTGGGCAGGGAGCTCTGCTTTTGGCATGGGGGTTTGTGTGTCCGTGGCACCTTCTGACCCCAGTGGGGCCCTCTGTGTGCAGGGAGGAAGTCCTCATCCCCACCCCAGCCCCCTCTGGGTTCAGTGGGCTTCCAGTGACTGGGGGCACTTCCCCTCGCTCTGAGCCCCCTGGCTGGCTCTGAGGCTGGTCTATGTCCATCATGTGCTGCACCTGCCCAGGGGAGCAGAAGTCGGTCCCTGAGCTTTACCAGGGCCCCACTCTCCACCCTGGACTTCGGGACCCCAACCATTGGCCTTGAACCCTGACCCTCTAAGGAAGGGGCCTGATCGCACCCCTGGGGCCCGAGGCACAGCACAACCCCACTGATTCTGGGAATTCGGGGGTTTCTAGGGAGACGCTTAGCACCAGCCAGAGGCTTGCTTGGGGAGGGCTTGAGCAGCCTACGACACCCCCCTCCATGGGGCTGGGGTCTGATTGGGGCTCACTGGAGGCGGTGGGGCGGTCTCAGCATGAGGGGGCTGTCCAGCGTCGGAAAGTGTCTGGAATCCTGTGGGGGTGGGGCAGAGACTCGGCCCAGAGTCCAGGTGTGTTAAAGGGCCTGCTACCAGGGTCTTGGGGACTGTAGCCCCAAGGGACAGAAGAGAAACCCCAAGAGCCTGTCCCTGCTGTGTGACTGGCCCTGTCTGAGCCTCAGGCCCCAACAGCAGGCCTTTGCCCGAGGGCAAAGTTGCCTGAGGCCAGTTGCAGTGATGAGGAAGCAGGTATGTGGCCCAAGGGCCATAAACCCAGTTTCAGTTTTGGTATCAACAGGGTACAGAGTTGGGACTGGGGAGGAGCAATCCGGGGAGCTTCCTGGAGGAGGAGGTGACTGCTCAGCTTCAGAACCTGTTGCTCTGTCACTCCCTGTGTGCCCCCTCTCAGGGCCTCAGTTTCCTCTGCTTCATGTTGGGCACAGAATGGCCCCCGGGTCACAGGCTCTCATGAGAGGCCAACAAAATGCTGGCATGAAACGCCCAGTTGGGAGGAGCCACTCGAGGAGTTGGAAGGCTCTGATTGCTAGTACAACTTATTTGCACAGTTTGTGAGACCTCCAGGAAGGTGGTTCCTTCCCCAGAGTTTCCGTGTGCCAGGCACCTGCTCAGGCCTCCTGGTTCCTCCCCAGGCCCTGATGTGGAGTTAGCACAGTCCCACCCTACAGACTGAGGCCTGCCCCAGGATCACTCTGAGATCAGTGGTGGATCCAGGGTTTAAAAATTAAAAGCATCAGCCACTGCTGTGAAAGCATTTATCTGGTGCCTACTGCATACCAGGCTGAACCTGCACGGCAGCAGCCTCTTGTGGGGGCAGCTTCGTGCTCTGGACCTACCTACCATCTCAAGGGACACTGGGGGAACTGGGGGAGCCTTGCCCAAGGACACAGGCAAAGAGGGACCCCACCCTGCTGGCCTCAGTGAATCACTCAGAAGGAATGGGCTGAGGAGGGATGTGTCCCCCACCCTGCCCCACCCACCAGGAGACCCAACACCCTCTGGGCGTGCAGTTCTTTTTCCTGGAGTTAATGTCCCCTGTGGCTTATAAATCCTTCTGGGTGAGCCTCTGGCCACTCACTAGGCAAACATTTCTGTATCAGCCCCACCATGCCTGCACTCCCCAGGAGTGTGGCGTGAGGACCAGAACTGCCCTCCAGGGTGGGCTGGGGCTAGGGGGGAAGCCTGGAGGGGCAGCTGGCTCTCCGCTTGAATGAACTCTAACCCTGGCCCCTGGGCACGTGGAGTGAGTCAGCCAGCCTTTATTAAGCACTTGCTGTGTACCAGACTCTGGGCTACTGGGAGAGATGCTCACCTGGGCCCCTGGGAGGGAGCTGATGGCTTGCAGTGAGGGGTGACAGGCCTTAAACAATCTTCTCCTTGCAAAGACATGTACACACCCAGCCACTCTCAAGTCTCTGGGATAGAGGCTCAGCCCTTTTGCCTAGGATTTATCACCCAAGCCTGCTTGTTTTTAAATATTTTTTTCCTGGTTATAGTTTCAATATTTGAAAGACTGCATGATAAGAATGAGTTAATTGTAGCATGGATCCCCGTGATCGATTTTAGGTTGCTTGGTGTCAGTTTTCCAGCTCAGGGAGGGTCTGCAGTTTTCTTTTAAAATCACATTTCACTTTTACAAGCATGTTGGTGTAAAAAGGCAGCGATGTACCCAGTAGCCTTGGTGGCATCAGGGGGCTGAGGATGGGGACAAGGGCTGCTTGAGAAGTTGAGAACAGCTTAGCTTCCTTTCCTCAGCTGTACTGGGCCAGGTACACATGGGATGCTCAGGCCACAGGCTAGAGGGACTCCCTGGGCCGCAGCCAAGGAGACTGTGGAAGAGCAGAAACCAAGGTCTTCCCAGCAGAGGGAGGAGGAAAGGGTCAGATTTGGGATCTGGTGCCTGTAGAGTTCGTGGGTTTGGGTTGAGCTGGTGGCCTTGAGTGCTCTGGGCAGGGTGTGAAGACTGCAGCCTGGAGATGCCAGGAGTCGTGGAGGTGTGAGAGCAGCTGCCTGGCCTCCACAAAGGCTCCTGGAGCTCAGAGGGAGCCCCAACTCCTGGTGGGGCTGGGCCCCCTGGGGCACTGGGTCAGGGTACCCCTTAGCTGGGCCAAGTATTGTGGTGCGGAGGTCACAAACATCTGGATGGGACAAGGTGTCCCTCTGGGCAAGTTTGAGGAGAGAGCCAGATACGGGATTCTCTGTCTAGTCACACCCCTCCCTGGGCCTCAGTTTCCCCACTTGACATCCCTCAGTGAGAGATGGGGCCATCTGTAAATGTCAGATGAAACAAAGAATCACAGAAGGAACCTCAAGATGTATGTGCCCTTACAGACAGTCTGTCGGGGGGGTGGGCCTCCTGGGTCTGGACCCAGCGAGCTGGCCCCCAGCAGGGTGTGCAGTGTCTGGGAGAGGAGGTGGGAAGGGTGCCTGCAAATGTTAGACACACAGGGGGCGAGTTGTTAATCAGTACAGTGGCCCCCAGGAATTCAGGTGTGGCTGGATCCAGGAGCTGAAACAATGTTTTTAGGGTGCTGTGTTGCAACTGGGGGTGCTCTTAAGCAAGGTGTGTCCTCAAGGGCAAATATGGCTCCCCAACAATTCTCAGGCTCATCCTATCAACCTCACAAGCCCAGTGGGGAAGAGGGTTCAATTTTCCACTTTAATTGCAAAGTCCCAGAGTTTAATGTCATTGTCCAGGTTGGGTCACATGTCCATCCCTGTACAAATAACAGAGGTCCAAGTATAGAATGCTCTGATTGGCAGGGCTGAGTCACTTACCCATCCCTGAGCCAATCACAGAGGCCACTTGGTCAGGACTTTGTCCTTGGAGGGAGAGGGACTACAGCTCTCCCCGAGTTCTCTGACCTGGTAACCCACACATCCTTCTCCTCCTTCAGTGAGCCCAGATCATCTCCACCCTGGGAGCCTGTGGTGGGCAGAGACCTCCCTCCAAACATGGACCGAGTTACCAGATATCCCATCTTCGGCATCCCTCATTCATCCCGCATGACTGACAGTGACACCAGCTACACGTTTGAGCTGGCAGGCGTGGGGGCCATGGCCAGTGTCTGGAGCCCGGACGAGACACCAGCATGGCCCACTGACCGTGAGGCCTCCCTGGAAATGACACGGACAGGGACCTCCCGCAGCCTGCGTGTTTTCCCTGGCCGGACAGCCCAATGGCCACCCTGCCCCGAGGATAATGAGGATGAGGAGGTGAAGGCCTACCACCTGGAGGCCAGGGATACCCCACCCTGGCAGCCACAGAACCTGGAGCGGGAGCGCCAGGCAGTCATTCGGGGCCAGGCCGTCAGGAAGAGTGGCACGGTGGCCACACTCCATGGTGCCCCTTACCACAGGGAGCCCGGGGGCCCCAGCCAACCACAGTCCATGCCCCTGGAGGAGAACAAGATCGACAGGGAGCAAATTGACTTCCTGGCAGCCAGGCAGCAGTTCCTGAACCTGGAGCAGGCGAACCCCCCACCCGGAGTGGCCCATGCCAATGCAAGGGTTCCCCGGAGCCCCCAGCCCAGGGTGGCCCATGCAAAAGCAGGGGTCTCTCGAAACCCCCCACCAGGGGTGGCCCACGTGAATTCAGAGGTTCCCCAGAGCCCCCAACCCAAAGTGGCCCATGTAAATGCAGTGGCCTCTCAGAACTCCCCCCCAGGGGCGAGTCAGGCCTCCAAGGCCCTGAGCAGGCCACACCTGGCCAATGGGTATGTCCTCCCAGTCAAACCCCAGGTGAAGGAGGTGGTCACGGAAGAGAAGAGGGTTCACCCTTTGCCCACCAGGTCTGGTGCCCAAGCCCTGGAGGACCCTGGTTCCCGGTCCAGAGAGGAGTCCCCAGAGCCCCACAAGGAGACGCCCATTGAGCGGGAGATCCGACTGGCCCAGGAGCGGGAGGCAGACCTCCGAGAGCAGAGGGGGCTTCAGCGGGCAGCCAGCCACCAGGAGCTGGTGGAGATCCCAGCCAGGCTGCTGCTGAGCAAGGTGAGCCTGGCTGCAGCACCACGGCGGGACAGGGGTCGTCCATCACTCTACGTGCAGCGGGACATTGCTCAGGAGTCACAGCGTGAGGAGGACCACCGGCGGGAGGGGCTGCAGGCAGGCCGGGCATCCACACCCGACTGGTCCTCTGAAGGACCCCAGCCCAGACTCCGAAGAGTCCACAGCTCAGACTCCATCCTTAGCCCGACCCCGGATGCCCACACGTCCAGCCCGGCCCCAGAGGTGAGGAAGGTGAGCCGTATCCCACCTGATGCCTACCAACCGTACCTGAGCCCTGGGATGCCCCCAGGAGAGTCCCCTGCCTCCCACACCTACCGCAGGCCTAGCAACCTCTCAGCAGATGAAGCCAGGCCAGTGGGCTCTCCAAAGGCTGCAGGGTCTCAGAGACGTCCCTCAGAATCCTCTGCAAAGCTCTCAGGCATGAAGCAGGAGCGCCCCCTGCAACCCCTGCATGCCAGCAGGGGTGTCCTCAGACAGGAGTACTTCCATCTGCGGCCCCTGCGGTTCAGAGTCCCGGATGAACCTGAGAGAGCTGAGGCCCCCCGAGTTTGGGGCTGGGAAGTGGAGGGGGCCCCAGCACTGAGGCTACAGAAGTCCCAGTCATCTGAGCTGCTGGAGAGGGAAGTGGAGAATGTCCTGCGACGGGAGCGGGAGATGGCTGAGGAGCGGCGGAGTGCTCTGTACCCTGAGGTCTTCTCAGATGAGTGCTGTGACCACGACTCTAGGAGCTCCTCCTGCACATCTGGTGAGGACGGGTCCTGGGAAAGGCTGCTTTGTGCAGAGTCTCAGAGGAGGGTGGCAGGAGTATGAGGATGCCAGGAGAGGCTGAGGGTGGGGGAACATCTGGGGGACTTCATCGACTACCTGGGTTGGCTGGTCTGTCCACTTGTCTGTCTGCTGAAGCAGTAGATTTTGGAGAAAGATGTTAACTTTGCCTTGAGTTTTTTGCTTTATGGATTTGGAGACTTTGTTGTTAGGTGCATAGAGGTTTACAGATGTTCTAGCCTCTCGATCAGTTGCTCCTTTTTGTCAATGTGAACTGCCCCCACCTTGTGTCACTTTCTAGTGTTTTTCTCCTTGCATGGTCAGCCCATCTGTTGATCCAGTTTCTCCTGACTGGCTATTCTGATCAATCTGTCTATCAGTGTTCCCAACCAGCTGTCTGCTCTGTCTGTCTGTCCATTCACTCGTCTCCTTAACTGGTCCAGCCTCTCAGCCAGAATCTGAGTCTCTTGGGCTGAGTTCTCACAGATGTTATGCCCTCAGGAGACTCTGGGACCCTCCCTGATGCTCTTTCCTTCCTTCCTCTCCCCTCCCCCACCCCCACCAGGCATCACAGGCAGCTACTCAGTGTCTGAGTCACACTATTTCACCCCCATCCACCTGCACTCGGACCTGGTGTGGACGGTGGAGGCCCCGGCCGAGGATGCTCTCCAGCAGAGAAAGAAGAAGGAACAGTGGGTGAGTCTTGAGTTCTGCCCTCCCCCTGGAGGCCTGGCTGAGGTCTGACTTCCCATTAGGGGCAGAGAAGTTCAGGCGAGGTGCACAATGGATAAACCGAGTTTCTCTTCATGTCTGGGCTGTATAAGCAGAGTCCCCACCATGAGGCTGTTCCCCCTGAGCCAAAGTCTGAGGATGAGCTCTGCTTGGAGGAGAGCAGTGGCAGTCTATCAGAATGATCTTTATTATTTTCATGTGTTTATTACCATCAACATCATTTCTGATTATTATCCACATCACATGATGGATGTCTCAGGGCTCTGCAAGCACCTTGCCTTTAACACCTGGAGGGATTTTTTGTTTCCCTTTTGTTGAGAAAGCCATACTTGCCCATGCCCAGGGTCATACACGGCTTCCCAGGTGGCGCTAGTGGTAAAGAAGCCACCTGCCAATGCAGGAGACGTAAGAGATGCAGGTCGGATCCCGGGGTTGGGAAGATCCCTTGGAGGAGGGCATGGCAACCCACTCCGTTTTTTTTTTTTTTTTTTTTTAGTTCTACCATTTTATTGCTACCAACCCATCTCCCTCCACCCTCATGCACGTGTTCTTAGTCATGTAACCTCATGGACTGCAGCCTGCCAGGCTCCTCTGTCCATGAACTTTTCCAGGCAAGAATACTGGATGGGTTGCCGTTTCCTTTTCCACCACTCCAATATTTTTGCCTGGAAAATCCTGGACAGAGGAACCTAGCAGGCTACAGTCCGTCCATAGCATCACAAAGAGTTGGACAGGACAGTGACTAAGCACCCACGCAGTGTCATACAGCCTGAGTTCCCAAGCCAGTACTTGAACCTAGGCCTGACTCCAAATACTACATTTGTAACCATGAGGCTGTCTACTCTCTGGACAGGAACTGTTACACCACAAAGAATAACACTCTCTCCAGCCTTACCCATGTGGTGCTCACAGTCTGGCCTAGTGGTTTGGGGTAGAGTGGAGCTTGGGGACCTGGGTTCAAGTCCCAGTCCTGCTGCTTGCTGACTATGTGATGGGCAAGACCCTGCCCTTCTCTGACCCTCAGTCTCCTCCCCTGTAAAATGAGTGTGATAATAAGAACGTCCCCCTTAGAAACTTAGAGCAGGGCTGGCTGCAGCAAGAGCTTTGTAAATGTCAATTGTCTTTGTTATGATGACGTTTACAAAGAGAAAACAGTTGCAAATGATGGGCAATGCTTCAATGAGGAGGACAACATGAGGGAACAGCATGGTGGGTGGTTTTGAGTTTGGGGTGATTGAGGAGCACTTGGGAGACCAGAGTGGGCAGGGAAGGCCTTCCTTTCTGCCCCAAATGTGACTGTCTATCGAGTCCAGTGGGGAGGGCTGAAAGGCCTGGGGGACTAACATGTGTTCCTTTTCTGTAGTATGCCGGCATCAACCCCTTGGATGATGTCAACTCGGAGGTGAGTGTGCTCCTGGGGCGAGGACCTGGGCCTTCCTTCCCTCCCCCTGCGTCAGTGCCCCCCATCCCCTGGCATCAGGGTCATGGGAAGCCTTTCTTCTGGGTGTGGGTGCTTGCTCTGATATCTTCTTGATTGGTAGTGTCTGCTTGAGGTGGGCTTTTCTGTGATCTGCTTTTGATGCCTGCCATAGTCACAGACTGTGGAAAGAGGGTCCACCTGCTGCCTTTCGAGGAGATGGTTTGGGGGCAGGCTTGGCCCAAGACAGGGATATTTTCTTTGACGGAGGGGTCCACCTGAGAGTGTATAGAAGGTCACCTACCTCAGTGGTTTTGTGGAATACATTTATAACCTTCTCTGCATGCAATGCAGGAAACTTGAGTTTGATCCCTCTGTTGGGAAGATCCCCTGGAGAAGGGAATGGCAACTCACTCCAGTGTTCTTGCCTGAAGAATCCCACAGACAGAGGAGTCTGGCAGGCTACAATACATAGGGGTCACAAAGAGTCTGACAGGACTGAGCAACTAACACTTTCACTTTCATTTTGATCTGAGTCCACAATGCCAGGCCCAGGCATTTCCCTCCTGTGGGGTTCAGCATGAGTTAGCACATTCCTTGGCATTGTTACTAGGAGTGGAGGGTCTGAAACAGGAGGTGGCAGTCCTACTTTACCCGTTCTCCAGGCCTCTCCTAGGGGTTAGCGGTGGGGGGAGATGTTTGGGGGCTTAGAGCCCTGAGGAAACTCCATGCCTCCTTTTGCAGATTCTAGAGGCCACACGGGTGACCCGACACAGGAACGCCATGGCAGAGCGCTGGGAAGCCGGGATCTACGCCAGCGAGGACGAGGACTGAGCTGGGGGCTGGTCCCTGCCTTAGGACCTAGGTGCCCATTTACATCCACACCTGAGAACAACACATCTCAAGCTGACAGTCCCAAGGGTGGATGCATTTGTGGGGTGTGGGGTTTCTTTCCCGTTTTCATCTTCCTGGAGAAATTGCTGTGCTTTTGGATGACTCCTTCTGCTCCTGTGACTTTGCCAAACGCTCTTGAGTCCTGGGAGGAAAGAGACGGGTCCCCTCACCTCCTGATAAAATTATTTCTGCTGGTCTGAGAGGAGAGACACCCTAACCCTTCTCCCTCTGGGAAGTCCTAAACTGACAGGGAAGACCTGCCTGGCTCCAGCCCTCGGAAACCTCCAGTCTGAGGGAGGAGGCCTGAGTGCCCAATTCCAAGGGTTTCATAGCCCCCTCTGCAACACACCCAGCACAGCTCTGACATTATGGGATCCCATGGTGACAGTTCCCCAGCCCTGGGCATTGAAAAGTGCGTGATTTAGGGGCTTCTGTCCTACCTGAAATAAAGCAGCCCCTGGGGTCCCTGCCTGGAGTGGGCATGCCCTGAGCCTCCGCCTGCTTTACTTCTCCAGGCGACATCACTGCCCTCTCCCCAGGGTGAGGCATACAGAAGGTGCTCAAGTAGTGCTGGTTCATGAGTGATTGTTCAGTTCTCCCACGTGGCCCTGTCAGTGACTCTCAGAGCGCTTCTTCAGGGCCTGCTGGGTCCCCAGCCCCTCTGGCTTCAGAGGCAGTCGTTGGAGAGGGGTCGTTATTAGGCTCCGCACATATACCACAGGCACCACTCCCGCTGAGATCATTCCCGGGAATGACCCGGTAGTGCTGACCCTTGTGTGCCTGCCCTGCCTCGATTTCCTCCATGCGTGGGGGTAAAGTGATGCGACCTCTTCCGCTTCCCCAACCCGGACCTCAGGCATGAAACCCCAGCACCTGCGCCTGGACCCCAGAGGGACTCCGACGGGGGCCGCACCCCCTCCGACCCGGACCCCCAGGCTCCAGACTAGGAGCAGCTGGGGACGCCCACCCGCAGGGTCTGTCCCCACCCGCTGCCCCCTCCCCCGAACGGCCGGTGCCCCCTTCCAGCGCCTCCCTGGCAGGCGGCCACAGGGAAGCCGCCACAGCTATTCTGAAAGCTATTCTTGAGAGCGGCCCACGCAGGGCGGGGAGGCGGTGCACCCAAAATAGCTGAGGCTGCAGGCGAGGGCGTCCCCGGGGCAGGGGGTAGGTGAGGTCGAGAGGGGCTGCGGAGGGCAGAACAGATCCGCTGAGGGAGGGGGCCCTGTTCTCGGGGGGCCAGAGTCTAGGAAAGAGACAGCGTCTGTATTCAGGGAGATGCCAGTCTGATGGAGGAGGGAAACTGTCCTCAGGGGAACCCCAGCCTAGGGAGGAGGTAGGGCCCCTCTGCCCTCAGGGGGCTTCAGTCTGAGGGAGGAGGCAGGGCCTGTGTCTAGGGGACCCCAGCCTGAGGGAGGAGGCGGCCTGTGTCCTGGGGAAGCACTGTACCTGGCAGCATGACTTCTGCCTGGTCCGAGGTCCGCTTTTCTCTGGGGTTCCCACTGTTCCATTCCAGCCCCAGGAACCAAATGTGCCCCCCCCCCACTGCCTTTTAGGAAGGCAGTTTTGGGGTCTTGAATACAACCTGGGCCTCACCGGCTCCTCCCCCATCTCTTACCACATCTGCTCCTCCTCCACCCCAGTGCCCACTGGCTGCTCCCCCTGGCCCCGCTTCTGGCATCCTCAGGGATGCCAGTCTCTTGGGGTGATTGGAACAAGCAGGAGCAGAGGGCTTAAACCAGCACAGCCTGGTTTTCTGACAGTCCTGAGGTCAGGAGTCCAGCTCAGGCCTAACGGGGCTGAATCCAGGCATGGGCAGAGCTGGTCCCTCTGGAGGCTCCCGGGGAGCACCGTCTCCCCACTTTTCCAGCTTCTAGAGGCACCTCATCCCTGGCTCATGGGCCCTCCCTCCATCCTCACAGCCAGCAGTGCAGCATCTCCTGTCTCTCTGCCTCTGACCCTCCCCCTCCCTCTTCGAAGGACCCTGTGATGACACTGGGTCCGCTGGAAATCCAGGGTCCTCCGAATCTCAGGGGCCTTAAATTAATCCCTCCTGCAAAGTCCCCTCTGACCTATGAAGTAACACGGCCACAGGCCTCAGGACCAGGATGGGGACATCTTTGGGGCTGTTATTCTGCTGACCAGACGCAGAAGGACACACACTGTCTGATTCTACTCACAGGAGGTCCCTGGCAGAGTCAAATCCTCGGAGACAGGAAGTAGATGGTGGGGCCAGGGGGTGGGGGAGGGGATGGGGAGTCATTGTTTCATGGGGACAGTTTCAGTTTGGGAGGACCAGAAAATACTGGAGATGATGGTGGGGCTGGTTACACAACAGTGTGAATGTGCTTAATGCCACTGAGCTGTGCACTGAGAAATGGTTAAGATGGTGAATTTTATGTTTTGTGTATTTTACCACAGTTATTTAAAAAAGGGAAAGAAAAAAAGTGTTGTCTCTCTCAAAGGCCTCAGAAGGACCTTGGGAAAGATCCAGGAAGGGTGCATTTACTTGCTTAAAACCTGAGTATCCTGAAAAGTGCATTGTCCTTGAAACTCTCGATTCACCCTCAGGGGCACATTTCAGGAGGCCGGTGGGAAGGTCTTGTTTTGATGATTCACTTTTGCTTAATTCTTCTCACTGGGCTGTGCCCTCAGGGAAGGGAGGGAGAATTCTATTCACCTGCCTGGCTGCCTTGTCCCACCGGGGCTCAGCGAGAGGTTTTTTTGTTTTGTTTTGTTTTGTTTTTTCTGGTGAGAGGTTTCAGTGAAGTCTTAGTGCAATTCCCAAAGGAGGGAGGGTCTGTCTGGATGGAGGACAAAGTGGAGACAGAGACTGCGTCTGCTGGTCGCTACTCTCTCTTTCCTGGTTTCCTCCCAGGTCGAGGTATGTGATCTGGGGAGGGAGGGAGTTTTCTCCAAGGCCATTAGAAAGGCTGAAACATAAGCCCCGTTTCCAGCTGAAAAGCCAGAACCTTTCCTCACTCTCAGCATTTTTCACCTTCTCCTTTGTCAGTGTTGCTCTTACTCCATTAACTCCTGCAGGACCATGTGGGGATCAGGATCCAGGAGCTGGGATGGGGCTGTGTCGCTGGGTTCTGGTGTGCCTCTGTCACTATCACTCCCTATGTGTATCTGTTAGCTTGTGCTGTGTGACAACCATCCCTCAGTGCTCTGATAGCAGCTGCTATGAGCTCAGGATTCTGTGGTCAGCTGCGGGATTGCTGCTGGGTCTGGGGGACCCCCAGCCACACATCTGTTGGCCTGGGTGGCAAGGGGAGGGCTGTGAGATAACAGTTCCATTGAAAATCAAGCCAACCGTCAATATATAAGTATTGTGTAAGTATAGCCCATTCAATATTTGGGACATTCTTATGCTAAGTAGCATGAGCATTAGATAGCATCACCGACTCAATGAACATGAGTTTGAGCAAACTCCAGGATATGGTGATGGACAGGGAAGCCTGGCGTGCTGCAGACCATGGGGTCGCAAAGAGTTGGACACAACTTAGTGACTGAATAACAACAGCAATATGCTAAATAAATAATCGCACACTGTCTATCTGAAGGTATGGATGGCCTGGGTTTGTATTTGTGGAATCTGTGGCCCTGGACAGGATGCCACAGCCAGGTCTCGTCTGGCTTATCCCCAAGGAGCTTGCTCACGGGAGTCTTGGGCACAACAGGAGAGGGGCACAGGCGCTTGGATGCTCGTGTCAGTCTGGCCTCTGTCCCTCTGATGGTGCCAGGGGTGTGACCAGCCCTGAGTCAGGACAGACGGGGACTGCCAGGCTGGGTGGTGACCAGCACTTCGTCTGCCTGGCAGGGCAGGTACGCCTTACACCATCCTGCCCCTTGGAGGTGATGGGCAGCATGTACTGGACTGGAAAGTGTGTGGACACCCAGCCCAGTGGCTTCAGGTCCAGTTGTGAGGCTTGGGGAGCCCACGTGCCGCAACTTCTGAAGCCTGTGTGCTCAAGAGCCTGTCCTCCACAATAAGAGAAGCCACCGCAGTGAGAAGCCCACACACCGCAACAGAGGAACCTACACACTCACCACAGCTAGAGAAAGCCTGTGTGCATAAAGACCTAGTGCAGCCAAGAAAAAAAAAATGGTCCACATTAAAACAAAATCTAGAAAACGAAATTAAAAAAGCAAAAACACCCAATATCTCTACACAGTTTCTGAGCGTTGGAAGGCCAGCTCAGTGGGGATGGGTCCTCAGCTCAGGGTCCCATTAGGCTGCAGTCAGTGTGTTGGCTGTGTTCTCATCTGAAGGCATTTTTTCCAGGCCCCTTTTTGGGTACTGGCAGAAATGTTTTACATTTGTAGGACTAAGGTCCCAGTTTTATTGCTGGCCACCCCCAAGTCTATGGCACATGATCACTCCACCAGCAGGTCATTATGTGGATGTTTGCTGCTCCAAGGCCTTCATGAAAGCCTCACCTGATTAGGCCAGGCCCACCCAGGGTGATTGCTCTTTCAATCAACTTGAGGTCAGCTGATTTGGGGACCTTAATCATACCTGAAGAAGCTCATCACCCTTACCAAATAACGTCCCACCCACATTCAAAGGGATTACTCAGGGTGTGCAAACTCAGACCTAGCATAGGTTTGAGGGCATGGGATCTGGTGGGAAAGTTTGGGTCTGAACTTCATCTCCAGTTTGAACCTCACCCTCATCAAGTTACCATGAGTAAACCGGCCTCTTCCAGTAAAATCTAGTCTCCCTTCTAGTAAATATGAGGTAACCCACTCACCCACAGGCCTAGGGGGCCCACGGACAAAGGGTTTGGCAGTTCTTCACCCTTCAGGTCTCAAACTGATGGCAGAGGGGCAGATTTAGAACAGAGGCCTCTCTTGGTCGTCAATGTTTAAATCTTTTTTTTCTCTCTCTTTTAAAGGATTTGCTAATATTTAAAAATCAGGATTTCTCATTTTTCTTG